AGAGCTCATCAATGTAGCTTATTAGCTGTTTCTCTTGGGTTTGGTTGAGGAGTTGCATGTTGGAGTTGGCATCTGAGCGTGTAGATTGAACACCGCGTGTAGATTGAACACCGCGTGCACGTCTTGACAGGGTACTGCGATCAACACCATATTTTTTTGCAAGCTGAGTGTAATTAGGTTTTTCTCCAAGCTTCAGCGATTTAATTGCTGCAATTGCTTCATCCATATCATGTGTAGTAGTGGAGTTATAAGTTTTTGAAGTTTGTGTGTGGATTTTGAAAAACGGGCGTGGGGTGATGCTGGGCGTTGCCTGAGTCAGCACGGTACGTGTTGGCCCCTAGAGATGATTCGCTTCTTGAAGGGGGCGTGTGAAGGGGCCATAGGGCTGGACATTATCTACTTCAACTCTCCTTCGCGTCGACTGTTTCCTGGATGATGGATTGATTGTCACAACCCTCTGCGACCGCTTTACTTCCTTAACAAACTTGGCGCCTACGACGCGATCTTTGACCAAGAGGACCTGGTACCTGAGATATCCAGGAGAAGAAGGCGCGATCCGCTTGGCCGACAACCCTTTCCCATGCCAGCAGCCGCCTCTAACAGTGTCGTCGAATTGACCATATCGACTTGTCCTTTACACGGGCAGCCATCTCGCGCGGGAAATCCCCATCAAGGCCTTGAGGCTTTTATAAGCGCTCCGTCAGGAGAAACTGCGACTCGACCACCTTTCTGTCCCGGCGCAGTATAAGAGCGTTAGATTTATTTGCACCACAGTCCATCGCCGCTAGACTCAATACCCACTTCGTCATGCTGCTCTCTCTTCTCGGGCTAGTCGTACTATTCTATGTGTTATGGACGCTTCACGATCTCTTTCGAAATTACAGAATTGCGCGAACGATTGCTTTTCCAATAGAGATACTGCCAGTTGACTTCCTCAACGTTCCCTTCCAAGTCCTCGAACCACATATCTGGCCGATCTTGGATTTTCTACGCATTCCACTACCCAGACAACTTCGGTACTTGCGACGAGGATGGCACTATAAAGCCAAAGCCAATTTCCACCACGAACTTGGCCCATCCTATGCTTTAGTCACGCCTCGTCAAGTATATGTCCATACATGCGACGCAGAAGCAATCCACTACGTCTTTTCCCACCGCAAAGAGTTTCCGCGGACCCCTGAGCAATATGGTATGTTCGAATTCGACTTCGTCACTGTTCATGCTAATTCGAGCAGAGGTTCTCGCAGTTTATGGTCCGAGTCTTTCAACGGCGCAACCGGAAGATTGGGCACGTCACCGAAAGGCCGTGGCACCATCGTTCATGAACGAGACCATCATGCGAAATGTATGGGAGGAGTCGATTCGCCAAGTACGTCAGATGATCGATATCTGGATCAACGACGGGGTGTCCAGTGTCGAAAGAGACACGCGCACGCTTTCCCTGAACGTTCTGGCAGCCATCGGGTTCCGGCAATCGTTTGATTTTCGCTCCACCTCTGAAGAGTCCATGGAACCGGATGGGAAATTCTCCTATCGTGATGCTCTAAAAATTGTCCTGGACAACGTAATCCTCATAATGCTCATCCCGCGAAAACATCTGCGATATAGTTGGCTGCCTGCTAGCCTGCAACGGATAGGAAAGGCTGCAGCGGACTTTGGCGTTCATATGCAGGAGATGGTCAACAAGGAACTTGCGAAACTGAACAGCGGAGATAAGGGCAGCGGCACTTTGGTCACGTCTTTCGTGCAAGCCATTGACGCTCATCAAAAGGATAAATCGAAAGGCATCTCCGTGGATGAGCTCCTAGGAAATCTTTTCATCATAAACTTCGCAGGGCACGATACCACTGCGAATACACTGGCTTTCGCGATGCTGTTACTGGCCGCATATCCGGAAGTGCAGGATTGGGTTGGCGAAGAAATGATGAGGGAAACTGGACATCTTGCTGATGACGAGCTGGACTACAGCATCTTTGCCAAGTTGTTGAGATGTCGAGCAGTCATGGTAAGCCAATTTTATGTCCCTCAATTCCGTCCCGTAACATACTACGTAACATACTAAATGCTTGTCAGTACGAGACCTTGCGACTCTACCCGCCTGTCATGTCGCTTCCAAAGCAAACGCTGAAACCGCAAATCTTGCACACGAGTAATGGTCCAGTCCGCATACCTCCTGACGTCTCTATCAACTCCCAGGTACTGGCAGTGCAGACGCACCCGAAATACTGGCCTGATGAGCCTTTGAAATGGAAGCCTACCCGATGGATTATTCCAAAAAAGCCTGCAGGCGAGGGAAAGCTTCCGGCGGAGGACTTTTTCACGCCTGCTACCGATACGTATTTCCCTTGGAGTGACGGACCGCAAAACTGCCCCGGTTTAAAGTTCTCCCAGGTCGAGTTTGTGGCTGTTTTGCTTTACCTTCTCAGAAAACACCGGATTCATGGAATTAAGAATCCGAACGAGAGCGACCTGGAGTTGCAGAAACGCATCTTGAGCGTTGTGGAAGACTGCACGGCCGTGATGCTGTTGAAGATGAGGGATCCGGATAGGGTAAAGGTTGGCCTGCGCCCAGTCTCCTGAACTCATGCCTAACGAAGAAGGTAATCCAAAGGAAAATTGTCGAGGTAGGCAGTAGAGATACACGTAATAACGTAATATGGCTACAAGACTGTGGGCATTACACGTCCGCCCGAAGACCACCCTACACTTCCTCCGTGGCTTAAACTACCAGTTCGGCGCAACATACTTGGCTAAATCTAGTTAAGTTATTGGAAACCTAGGCTGCTGCAGCTTCATGCAGAGGCGGACTTAAGCTGATTACGACCTGTCTCATAAACGTGCGACTCTTAGCTCTTCAATCAAAGTGGAACGCAGTACGCTTTTATGTAGCTAACTGAGCCTTGTTTCGTTACTAGGGTAGCGGTAGAGATCGCAGGGCCCAACGCATCGTTTGTGCGAGCGTATGGTCGGCTCTATGGAAGAATTACCTGTGTTATGGGCGCTAAAAGCTTAAATTTGGCACTTTATAAAAGTTCTATTTGAAACAAACTATCAATAACGTCTCATTGGTCTAGTTGGTTATGACGTCGGTCTCATAGCGCTATCTATGACTGTTCCCAGGACAGGTAATCCGAAGGTCGCCAGTTCGAATCTGGCATGGGACATTTGTTTTTTGCTCGTATATTTCCATTCTTTATTGTGCTTCGCCGCGTTTCGCCGGTTATTAGAACGCGAAAGTTTGTAGCCGCTCTTGCTAACACGCCAATTAAGACCTCAAGGTAATGTAGCTAGTCTCGCATTTGAGGGCAGACGTTGGACCGCCCTTTTTCCTGTCCACTGTAAGAAGAGGCGATGTCCTGTCAAGTGTCTTTCCGGCGCTAGGGAGCGATATAGTTGTGCGAACGCCTGGCGCTCCTCCCTCTCACAGGGATTAGATTATATATAGACAGGACTCCTTTCCACTTCTAAGATAGTCGTCCTTCTGGATTTTTTTAGCCTTGCAGTGAAATGTGCAGAACTTACAAGCGAATGAACTCACCACGCTGGTCCTCGCGCATCGTGATTTGTTAAATAAGCCTTGCTGAGAAGAGGCTAGCGTCAATCCTGGGCCCCATGTATATTGTTCTTCCGCGAAAATTCCACACAATGCCCGTTGATGAGGGTTCCTTGAACCTGACGAAGGCGCCCATTATCGATGGTACCTGATGAACTCAGCGGGACGAAGGCAAAAACTGCAAGCCGCCAGACTGGACGACGACATCAGTGCTGTCGTCTTGCCATCTTTTTGAAGATGACGGACAAAATGCTCACTGGCACGATATCGGCCTAGACTCAGGTGGCGGTGTATCTATCAGAAAATTTGCAGTTTTGCGCTAGCATGTATTTATTAAAACAGGCACTTAATAGGCATGGACTGTAAGACTCCACTCCTCTGCTGCTAATTCACTCGTTTTATTTTGGCATTCCTTCCTTGACGTTCGTTTGTTTCGCTCTTTAGACGACATCCAATGAGTATCTCCATTCGCTGCATTCCCCCAACGAGCTGTTTGCCGCCAGTGCGATCAATCCGTGGAGCTACCGATGAGCAGATCAGGAACGCTTTATGCAATCTTCGACAGCTATACTGTCCGCTCCGCCGCTTATCCGTCTCGCTTCATAGTAGGAAGGATGCCAAAGCCGTGATATCGCAGGTTCTACAACCGACGGACTCGGGCTATGCTTCGCAAGATGATGATGAAGACGACGAGACATCCGAGGTAGAAGACACCAATGCGACCCTGCGCGCTGACACATTCGAGCGTGACTTTGCTGTGCGATGGCTGACCGCACTCATCGCACGCGCCGAAGAACTCTCTTTCGACCCGGATCTCGTAGACGAGGCCGCCTTCATCCTCGCTTCATTCAGTGACATCGAAGACGAAGGCCCCGACCAGGCACTAACCCGTGATTTCTGTTTCCCGTCACTTTTTCACTCTTCCGCATCCACAAAGATCGAAGTCCGCCTCAATGATGCGCCGCTGTCGACCACTGATCACACAGACGTCGGACTTCAAAGCTGGGGCGCATCAATCATACTTTCTGACATGATGTGCGCATCTCCAGGTCGCTTCGGCCTTGAGAAACTGGACCCTGGATGTACGATCGTGGAACTGGGTGCTGGGACAGGACTCGTTAGCCTCACTCTCGCTAAAATGCTACAACAATCGTACATCACCGACGCAACGTTGGTGGCTACAGATTATCATCCCGCCGTTCTCCAAAACCTTGACCGCAATATCCGGACGAACTTTCCTTCGAATGATACGGCGCCTGTCAAGGCTATGATGCTCGATTGGTCGGCTCCGGTTCTGGCTCCTCCACTGGACAAACCTGCCAGCATGGTGGTGGCAGCGGATGTCATATACGCTCCTGAACATGCCACATGGTTGAGAGATTGTGCTGGTCTCCTATTGGGTGGAGACTGTCACTTTTGGTTGATCGTCACCGTGCGCACGGTAGGGAAATTTGAGGGGATCGCAGATACTGTTGAGACTGCATTCTCCGCAGCGGACTGTCCGAAGAAGAATGGGAAGACTCTACAAATTCTAGAAAAGGAGGTGTTAGAGAAGAGAAAGGGCATTGGCCGCGGAGATGAAACGGCGTACAATCTCTATAAAATTGGCTGGAGGGAGTGACTGGATTTCTCGATACCCTAAGAGTTCATGGAATAGTGTTCAAGAGTTATGGAATAGACTAAATAGACCGACTTACTGCGCCAAAGCTGCACGAAACGCGTTTTGGTCACTCGGCCGCAAACAGCAAGCTTCGGTGAGCCCTATCATGATGCGAATCACGTTCAGCATCTAGGTCTCCAGAAGACGGACAAGCTTTCACACACCGGCGACGGCAGAGCGAAAGGGGGCTGCTGAAGGAGCGTCTTCGTCTCGTCAAGCTCCTCAGGAATAGTCGCATTACTTATTTCGTTTTGGGTCAGAGCCATGTAACTTGCACAACAGTATTTCCGGGTTTCCTGAATATCAAGTGTCCGGCGCCTCCGAGGAGGAAGAAGATGGTCAGCAACGGGACCACCAGTGGACCTTCTGCCACGCATATGTCAGGCTCAGTGCACGGGTACCCTGTTGTAACATCTGATCTTGTCTTGATCTAGACAAGGGAACCTGTCGGTACGGCCTCAAGTAATGAGCCACTGATGCGGCCATGGGTAAAGGTGGTGGCGCGCGGACTTCCACATCTACATGTACCCGGAGAGTGAGTGCGCCATCTCCTCTTCCTTGAATATCACTTCACACGTCTTTCTATGGATTAAATTAGGGGGTCATGTATCTGGCCATGACGATGGTCGCGTCACGCACGCCATGGAAAACTTCTCAAGCCAACGCCGCTGTTATGTTTGCGGAGAGCATAATACCAGGATAATACAGCTTCGCCGAAGCCGGCCGACAGACGCATAGTATGCGAGCAGGTCCCAAAATAATGAAGTAGAAGTAGTCTGGCAGCCAATATCAGCTTGACTGCACCGAAATAGTCGCGTTTGAGGTCGATAGGTCGAGGGTCAAGGCTAAGGCTGGAGAAGGTACAAGACCGAACAGCTGTGAATCAGCGCTCTCAAAATCGATCGTCCGAAGCTTACATGGATTGACGATGCAGTCAACGGCTCTGCAAAACGAGCAAACAAGAGGATTAGCAACAGATGTGTAGGATTACCTAAGTACGGAGCTTTTGCCGAAGTGATTCATAAATCGCACCCTCCAATTCCATTGCGCGACTCCGGCGGACAAACGCGCGAGCAGAGCATAAAAACTCGGGGATAGGGACCCGAGGATACCTACATGTCGCCTCCAAAGACGGGACTCGCAAGCAAATATGAGTCTCTTAGTCTTCCGCTAAAACAAATGTCAGGCGTGGAATGTAGAGATCATCCCAATCTGTTATCGAATCGGGAAATGCTCTAGTCCCCGGACCGAATGCACGCCGTGATTGGACTTCGGATGCGGGGTATCCGCGAGCATGAGTGCATTTAGGGCAAGCGAATCTTGTGTCCAACCCCATTGAGCACGAACATTTTCAACTCTTCAAACTTCGTCAAAGAGTCTGGTAATGCCTGATCTTTCTCTTTTCACTTCCTTGGTGAAGGGTGCTGGAGTATATACCGTCCTCAAGTCGACAAAAGATGTGAAGCTCCTGTTTCTGCAAAGATTTATCCGCCTGTTTGCCTATGGAGCTTCATATATCATTCTCGTCCACTTCCTGGCAAACCTCGGAATATCCGATGAACATGTTGGGTTGTTTATGACGCTGACGATGCTTGGGGATGTTGCCATCAGCTTCGTTCTGACCATTATCACTGATCAGGTCGGACGACGCAAAGTGCTTGCTGCTGGTGCCTTATTGATGGGATCAAGCGGTATTGTATTCGCGCTGAGTAGCAGATACTGGGCACTGCTTCTTGCGAGCATTGTGGGCGTGATCAGTCCTAGGTGAGTGAGTCTGCTTTACCGTAGTACCGAAGCTGGAAATGTCCTGACTACATGAAGTGGGAACGAGATTGGCCCTTTTCGAGCTGTGGAAGAATCCATCCTCTCTCAATTGACGGATAAAGATGACCGTAGTGATATCTTTGTATGGTATACTATGTGTGGGACCGCTGGAGCTGCGCTTGGGACAGTGACTAGCGGCTGGATGATTCACGCGCTGACAACATCCGCTACAAGGACCGAGCTCGAAGCGTATCGGGTGGTGTTCATACTCTATGCCGCTCTTGGTTTTGTAAAGATGATTTTAACCCTACTCCTGAGTCGGAAGGTGGAACTCGAGAGGAAGCATCCTGCGTACCATGAGATACTCGAACTGGAAAATGAAGAGCTTCTCACCGAAACCAGTTCAGAGGAGAACGAAGAGACAACGGGACATATTCCGAAGCGAAACAACTCTCAGATGTATGAACCCGCGGCTGCAAACGGAGGCGTTCTTTCCCGACTCGGTCGTAGAGCTCGATCGTTGCTACCTCGCATCTCGTCCCAGTCTCTCTCGATCCTCTCCCGACTTATTCTACTCTTCGCTCTGGATTCCTTCGCCTCCGGCATGGCATCACCGTCTTGGCTAACCTATTTCTTCACCACATACCACAAGATCGGCGCTGGAGCACTCGGAACTCTCTTCTTTACAACCAACATTCTCGCAACACTGTCAAATTTCACCGCACTTCCTCTTGCCAGACGACTGGGGCCCTTGAAAACAATGACTTTCACTCATCTTCCTTCAGCGATCTTCCTGGGCCTGGTACCTTTGCCTAAATCCGGAAGTGGAGGAACCTGGATAGCTATGGCATTCTTGAGCCTTCGTGCATGTACGCAGAGTATGGATCAAGCTCCGCGTCAGGCGTTCCTTGCCGCAGCCGTGAGGAACGAGGAGAGAACAGCCATCCTAGGAGTCGTTAACATTGTTAAGACGATTGCTCAGGCCGGCGGCATAGGTTCCTCGGGGTTCCTAGCTGGCAAGAAGATGTGGGTGGTTATGCTGAGCGGCGCCGGGTTGATGAAAGCAGGCTATGACCTGTTGATTCTGTGGACGTTCCTTGGACTACCTGAACGCGAACGATAAGCTAGTCCTTTTTGCTTTGTACTGAATTGCGAACCAGGCCGTCCTGGACGCCAATTCCGAGCTTTAGGTAAGCTGAAGCGTTGACAGGACAACGATCGATTATCTGGACAGCGGCCACGTCTGTGTCTGCTGTCGGTCGAGATGGTATAGAGCACATGAAGAGCCTGCATGCTCTGTTCTCCATAGGAGGCAAGATTTCAGACGCACCGGGCTCTTATCAACGGCGAAAGTTCATCCCAGCCTAGCCTAAAGAGCTAGACCAGGAGTGTAGTGAAATATCGGGCTGACTCAATCCTCGGAAACACATGGCGGACTTTGGGAAAACGAGTGGGTTGGTAGAAAACATTTTGGAGCATCTACAGTAACGTGTTCCACGGGCGAGCGCCGCACACGGGCGAGGGCCGCACCCCACCAACTTTGCCCACCTCTCTCATCTCAACGTACAATGGCTCAACGCAGCGCTACTCAATCAGCTTCAAATGAAGCAGATGTTCAGCTTGCTATCACCTCTATTGAAAACAACCATATCCAGAGCAATCGCCGTGCTGCTACTATCTATAACGTGTCCGAACGAACAATCCGCCGCTGATGCGCTGGTGTCCCTGCCCGACGCAATTGCCAGCCTAATTCGAAGAAGCTTACCCAGTTAGAAGAGGAGGTGATTGTCAGTCACATATTGGATCTAGATCAACGTGGTTTTTTGCCTAGCCTAGCTGCTGTATGTGATATGGCCGATAAGTTGCTAGCTGCACGTGGTGGAGGATGCGTAGGAGTCAACTGGCTATCTACTTTTGTCAAGCGTATAGACAGCCTCATGATGTGTTTCAATCGGGCGTACGATAGGCAGAGGGCTCTATGCGAGAATCCTGTGTTAATCAAGAGCTGGTTTGAGCTTGTAGAGCAGACGAAGGCCAAGTACGGCATCTGCGATGAGGACGTCTACAACTTTGATGAGGCTGGCTTTATAATGGGCAAGATCATGATTCAGCTTGTTGTAACTAGGTTAGAGAGAAGAGGTCAGCTGAAGGCTGTTCAGCCAGGAAATCGCGAGTAGGTGACAGTAATCCAAGGAATCAACGCAGCTGGCTGGGCTATCCCACCATTCATCATCTTTGCTGGCCAACACCATCTCTCTGCCTGGTACAAGAAAGCTGATATTCCACGTGACTGGATGATCGTAGTTAGTGACAATGACTGGATGAACAATGAGCTAGGAGTTGAGTGGCTAAAGCACTTCAATGCTTATACTAAGACTCGTGTTTTAGGTGCTCATCACCTGTTCATCCTTGATGGCCACGAGAGCCACCACTCCCTTGAGTTTCAAGAATTCTGCAAGGAGAACAATATCTATATGCTCTGCATGCCAGCTCACTCGTCGTACCTGTTCCAGCCTCTTGATGTTGGCTGCTTCTCATCATTGAAGCATGCATACAGCCATGAGATTGAGGCTCTGATCCGCAACCACATCAATCACATCACGAAGCTTGAGTTTCTGCCAGCCTTCAAGGCAGCCTTTGATCAATCATTTACGTCAGCCAACATCTGCTCAGCCTTTCGAGGTGCAGGCCTAGTTCCCCTCCAGCCAGATGTTGTTCTATCAAAGCTCGATGTGTAGCTCCATACGTCTACTCCTCCAGCTGCTCTAATAGAGGCTCTCTAGGAAGCTCGAACACCAAGCAACGTATGTGAGCTTGAGGCTCAATCAACGCTAATACATGATCGCATTCAGCAGCACAAGAGCTCATCACCAGCCTCAATTATTGAGGTGATTAATCAGCTCAAGAAGGGAGCTGAAGTGATGATGCTCTCAGCTGAGCTGATACGTGATCGAATTGCTAGCCTTGAGAGAGCCAATGAGGCAGCTATAAAGTGGAGGCAGCACAAGAAGAAGCGGATCCAGAAGTATGGAGTTTTAACAAAGGGAGCAGAAGAGGATATACTAGCTCAACAAGAGGTTGAGGAGCAGATTGCTCGTGAACAGCGTCAAGGTGGTGGGCGCTCAGGTCTCAGCCGCCAGGCTCTGGCATGCTGCACAAGGTGTAAAGAGCCTGGGCATAACTCACGTACATGTAAAAAAGATACTTAAGATACTACTTGATCTACTCTATTAATATTTATCTATTATTCTACAAGGTGGTTGGGTTGCACGTTTGAACAGGTGGGCAAAGTTGGTGGGGTGCGGCGCTCGCCCGTGTGCGGGCTCGCCCGTGGAACACGTTACGTTACGTCTTCGTAAAAGAACAAATACCCTACTGTAATCAGCCGCTCGAAACCAAGAAACACTGCAACAATGGCAACCACGTGCACACCCGTCAAAATCGATACCTGCTCCTATCTTGCCTGTCACCTCGGCAGAAACACCACGATCTGCGGTACCATTATGCTTCTTTCCTCCCAGACCGAACTTCTTGCCCCTGGATCGCCCATTTACGACTATATTCTCCCGAGGTCGCCTATGGAGGTGAAGGCCGTTACTTGGATCCAAAACGGCTTATTTTATTTCCTGTTCGGCGCTCATGCGATTGAGACTGTTATGTTTGCCTTCGGGAAGTTGAAGAAGCATCGCGTGCCATTTGGGTTGGTATGGCTGAAGTGGATAATTATGTGCTTGGTGGGAAGGAAGTTCTGCTTTGAGCATTTTGATAACGTGGTTGTGCAGAAGGAGGCGGCTTTGCGTTAGGAGAAGGGGGAAGGCCGAAGAGAATGCAAGGGGTGGGAAGAAATAGTCCTAATATGTTCTAGGAAATGGACATACGTGAGAGAGGTTTTACAAGATTTCGACTATGTAGAACAACAGTCGCGCATGGCTGGTTGCAAAAAAAGACCTGTGAAGAGCCCTTGTGTACGCGCTCCGCGGATCTTCCTGATAACTGACCTGGATTTTGACCTCAACCTGCAACTCGGCACTAACAGTCTTGAAAATCCTCTCTAAACTCTCCTTACTGTGGATGAATCTCGTCATCTTCACACCCTCTGGGACTAATGGAGGCGGAATAGGCACCTCATGCTCTTCCAGATCTCCCGCCAACAAGCCGATAGTCCATGCGCCCTTCCCACTCGTGAGTCCCATCATCTTCTTGACAATCGCAGTTTGAATGTTCCAATCAAAAGAGTGCAGCAACATTGAAGAGACAACAATTTCCCACGTTCCCCTGGTCTTCTCTAGTGGATTGTCCAAGTCTGTGGCCAAAATGTCTGCACAAATAAAGCGACCCTTCATTTTGTCTGCGTCTCGGAACAACTCGTACCCGACCATCTCGAACTGTGGACACTTATCCACGCCGAGAAGCTGGCAGGATTCAGCACCATCATAGATGAGCTTTCGCATGTCTTGACCCAGACATGTGCCCAGATCTATCAAAAGCGGTTTTGTCTTATCCGAGGCATTTTTCAAACGATTTAAGAGGCAAGTGTACGATGGGTGTTCCGACAGACCGAGAACAAGGAACCAGAATTCACCAATTGTAGCGAGGGGGTATACGGAGAAAGCTTGATCGCGCTGCGTTTATCATTTAAGAGCTGCCATCGGGCAACGATGATATGGCTGCTTACCGTGTTCAAGATATGTACCTCAAGCTCCTCATCGGGTATCTTTGCGTAGCCGATGAGGAGGTCCTGACAAGCGAGTGTCAGGGTCGGTCCAATCATGGGCAGATACCAGGGCAGGTTGGTAAGACTTTCAGGAAGACAGGGCATCTGAGACTTCATTTCAATGGCCTTTAGTTAACGGAGACCAAGGTTTACTTCTTTTAAGTGCCGGTTCGTCCCGAATCAGCGATTTCACGGTCCTTTCTAGCGCTGCCCACGTTTCGTTGAATTCTCTCCACAACCACACAGGAAACGACCCAGAGAATAGCAGCAATAATCCAAACTCCGCTGTTGGTCGTGACGGACTCCGAAAAATGCATGCTTGAAAATGATGCTCAACTCCGGCGGGGTTGGGAGGACGAACGCCGCAATACTTAATGCATTTCTGAATCACAAGAAGCAATAAGGCAATCAGCCAGTTACACGGATGCCAAAGCCCGCCGTCCACCATAACTGGAAACATTCTAAGTCTATTGAGCGCAGAAGTGGGACTGTCTACGCCTCAACTGTGCATATTGTCACAAACGGGCGCAACATGGTTGCGTTCCATAGGAAACTCTGAGCCTACAGATGAGTTTAAGCGAGTTCTGCCGCAAATAATCAAGTGCAAATCCGTTAAGACGGAGCACAATGGTACGTTACACAAAGCGATGCTGTGGCACGCAATTTGCAGCGTCAAGGCATGGGTCAATAAGAACAATTTAACTCAAGACTCTGCCTTTAGTTTGACGCAGCGCGCCTCCGGATCTGAAAGGGCAACTTGTATGCTGGCTTTGCCACTCCGGTCCCGAAGTGGCTCCAATCGACGGACATTTCCTTTGAAGGTACAGTCAACTCAATATCAAAGTGCATGACTAAAAGCGCGATCGATAGAAAAATCTCGACCTTGGCCAGCCTTTGCCCCGGGCACATCTGACTTCCGCCACCGAAGCGAATCCACGTTCCCTCAAGGTTTTTCAGAGAGAAAATTGGCTGGGCACTTGATTTCAAATCCGGGTCCGGAGAGTCTTGCTTTCCGCTGCGTCGTCCCGGAACGGAGTCTATGCGTGACTCTAACTTGGCGTTCTTCTCACTGGAGTATCTCAGGAAACGCTCCGGATAGAAGGTCTCGACTGGATGTTCCCCACTAGGTCCAGTATTCCACATGGTCTTATCCATGTGCTGGACGGTCGAGCAGACCATCACTACTGTTTTAGCGGGTAGTTCCCAGCCGTTAACGCGCATATCTTCTGGGTATGGATATCGTGTGATGAAAATATGGTTACGATATCTCAGAGTTTCGGCAAAGGTTGACTGTAGCAGTGGTTTTTTCAAGAGAGTGGGTAGCTCAAAATCAAGAATAGAAGCCGTGTCCCGCTGGTTGATGGAATGCTCACATTCTGAGCGAATGCCTGCAAGCAGATATGGCCGTCGGTATATCTCGTAAGCCATCCAATAGAGCGCAGAAATAGAATTCGAGTTGGCATTGCAAACAGTAAGCGAGAGTCATTATGACCAACGGAGACCAAATTATAAGATCAAAAAGGACGTTCACGTACGCCCACAATAATCCGAGATCGCTTGCGGCGATGGCGTCCATATCCCAACCATCAACGTCGAGAAGGTTAAGCTTGGATGACATTCCTTCACACCCTTTCAAGGGGCTACCATCTTCTAAAGAGCATGTAGCCAGTCTCCAGCGCTTGATGCTTGCAATTAATTTGTCCCGGATTGTATAGCCTTCAGGAAAGAGACACCGCGGGGCCTTCTTCGCTAGCGTAGGGACCCAATGGTCAAACTTCCAGAGAGTACAGACAAAGTCAGGATTCACAACGTTGATGAGAGTTGGACCGCATAGCATCTCAATGATGAGTGGTGTAATCTGCGTAGCGATGAGGGCGAAAAGATCTGGCATCTGAATCCAATCAGGCCCAATTGGCAGCGCGCCGATGCGATCATAGAGAAGTCGGGAGAACTTCACAGTAAGATCATCGAGTTGTTGGCCTTGAAGCATGGATCGAAGAATTTCATGATCGCGGTAACATATCCTGTTTCTTGGTTGAATGTATGTTCCTGGCCTTGGTTTGGCAGAGGTTCCCGTATTGTCTCTCAGGAATGATGCGCAAGCTGCCTGGGGCATTCCGAAAATATGGCCGCCAACGAAGTGTTGTGCGTATGCTGGGTTGGTCTGAGCAGATTGTCGAAAGAGGCTGCGAATATTGTCTGGTCCCTGCACTAGAATAGGGTCAAGCCCTGGAATTCGTAGTCTCACGGGATTTTGAGGACTATATGTGATGCAATTAGTAAAACAAATAATTCAGCACTTAGAGATATGATAACGTGGCTTAAGTTTAACACAAAAGCAATTGGGCTGCGGAAAAAGGATGCAGCATTTCCAACCAGTGGAAGACCCTTGGAAGCCCATGGTACCCGCCTAGTGGAGTTCAGGCTTTCACGATATTGGCCGTTTTCTCTCAGACGAACCAAGTAACGGTAGAATTTTGTTACCACTATTAAACCGACGAGTGTGTGCAAGATTGTCCACTGGATGTCGTCCAGATAGAAGCATAAGGAGGTGTATCGGAACATAGTAAGCACAAGCGAGATAAGCTTTCCCAGACCCCAGGACACCAGCTACTCTACGCTAATTATTGGATGAAATGCAAAATTGGATTGAGGATCAAGAGATGTTCTAGGCAGAGAGACGGTGGGGTTTGTTGGTGGAATATATGCCATGTAACAGCTCAAAAACAGCGGTCCATTCATTGATACCGTGTCAATCACGGCAATATTCCCGTAGACATTTCCACTGGCCTGAGAGCCATGTGAATGCTTTCCCACGATATGCAATATTGCCAGTTAAAACCCTCTCCAGCCAACATGAAATCACCGCTAAAGCATTGCAGACTAGGGTAGGTGATGCTATTGCTACCAAAACTCAGAAGTCCACCTATGACAACTATGTATTAAGGTTTATTAGTTTGACCCAAACTCAGCCAGGTATGGTCTGATCGTCGATGTACATTGTAATTGGGAACGCGACGCACCGCTGGCATCCATGTTAATCTACTCTGTTTGCATGAATTGTCGGATGATAATGCTTGAATCCTTATCAAAGGGCGACAATTTGCAGCCGCCGCGCTCATCCTACAGCTGCATTGATGATGTTTGAAGAATGCCGGTATATCTTTCTCGGAGTTCTCTCAAGGATTAGGCGACAATGGGAAGTTTAAACATCCAAGCGCTGCACATATTTTAACCGGACTACGCCGCAATCTCGCGGTATACTCTTGTGGCATCACTTGAAACCTCGTGCAGAAGCTATGGAGATGCAAGGAATAATGGGAATGGTCGCCGGCTCTGATCCTTGCTAATGTTAGGCACACCTGTAGGGTATGCAATGTCTTGGAAGTCGCGTGGACAGCGCACATGCAGCTAAAAGAGACAAGTCATCGACTTCTGTCCAGCTCCTCAGTATCTGAACGGGATTCTATCTTCCGCTTCACATCATTTCTGTCCTGAGAGTACCCAAAGAAATGACAGCCGGCTGGAATGTGTTAGGCGGATGCCTATTGATCTTTGTTCTCCTGAGATGCTTCCTCCATATGACGCAAGACGCTACCGAGCCCTTAATTGTGGCTTGCGGTATACCTTTCTTCACCCCAATATATTGGATGTTTAGGAAAAAAACAAATTTTTATGTCTGGCTGAGGTAAATCGGCTTGAAGCAACTTCCGCGGTGCAGCTTTTAGAAACTAATGACGAGATAGGGACAGATATCATCTACCCATTTATACATTGCGCCTTCCAGGAGTGCGTATGTACGTGGTGAATTCCACAACACTGATCACTGCTGTTCAACGACAAAATAAACTTCTTGCATTCGCGCCAATTAAAGTGAAAGCAGCAATCCGGCTAGCATCCCCGAGCAAAGCCACGATCAACATACTCGAATCTGAAGCATTCGGGGAAATCGGGAGTGGGGAGTACGCGAACATGTTTCATAAGGCTATACAAACTCAGTTGTCTCCTGGGAGTGTTGAGTTTCAAGATATGGCGCGTATCGCCACAGAACAAATCACCTTGCATTTTGCATCGAGTTGCGAGCCGACAGGAACGGATGTTTGGCCTATATCAGTGGATCAGGGAAGATATGGTCATGTCAATAACGAATGCTGTGTACGGTCCGGGGAACCCCTTCAAATACTCGTATGTTCGTGAAGGTTTTTGGTATGTCGACCGTTGCTTGAAACTCATTTTCGATCTTTAACAGAAGCAGGGAATTCGAGTCTCGGATGATGTATTTGCTTTTGGGACTCTCTGCTCTAGCCAAAGGCAGCATTAGAGCCCGGGAAACGATAGTGGAGTCTTTTCGGAGGTACTATGCAAGCAACGGCCACCGCAGTGGCGCGGGCATTACCAGGACACGCTACGAGTACAACGCGAAGAATCAAATACCCCTTGAAGATATTGCGAGATTTGAATTAGGTGGGATGGTTGCGCTCATTACCAACATTGTACCCACGACATTCTGGGTGGTATATCATATATACTCAGATCCCGCCCTTCTCGAAGCTTGCCGGAATGAAGTCAATGGCGAAACGTGTGAAACCAACGATCCCGAAGGAAGAAAGCTACGTACCATTTGCCTGTCAGGGCTTGAAAATTCATGCCCCAGCCTCATGGCAGTCGTGAAAGAGGTTCTTCGTCTTCACACAGTTGGCACATCTGTTCGCCGTGTCATGGAAGACCACATGCTCAGCGGAAAATACCTCCTAAAGAAGGGTAGCATTGTTACGATCCCCGGGCAGGTGCAGCACAGCGACAAGGCTATCTGGGGACAGGATGCCGGCCAGTTCAACCATGAGCGTTTTTTAACTCCAGCCAGACATATCCCACCATCGGCATTCCGCGCATTCGGAGGCGGAGTCAGTCTCTGTCCTGGGAGACATTTTGCTACAAGTATGATCCTCGCTTTCACTGCCATGTTGATCATGAGATTTGATTTTGTACCAGTAAGGGGAACTTGGCCTCGTCCCACAACAGAAAGAGCTGGTGCTTGGGAAGTGACACCCCAACCAGACGAAGATATTGAGGTCCAAATTGGTTTCAGGAACATCGGTGAAAAGCATCAGCGTTGGGCGTTTAGTTTGTTTTAGGACAGGGAAGGTGTTCCTTCACGGGGCAGGCATGCGTACGTGGGTTTCCGGCACAAGTTCGAGGGGATCTACTGTGTATGCGGGCGGCAGTCGCACTTGGGATTAGATGTCCCCAATGTTTCTCCTTATGCTACTGAGAATATGCCAATGCAGTGCCCATAGTCTTCAAACATAAGTCATTGCCCATAATATTGCACTTATTCACCAGGAAAACACCTGTAGAAGTGACAGGTGCTCATGCATTGGTCGTACCATCAGAGATTTCCCGAGAAAGCCGTAATCCTGTCATAACATGCTTGGCCAAGGGATGGACGGCCGGACCGAACTCTTTAATCCTCGGCATTATTTTCGAGGTTGGTCAGATTCAGGGCGCCAGGGGGATGTGTCTGCTTGTGGGGCCAGAACCACCGGCTTGCAGTCGGGAGCGACCCGATCCGCTACCGCTGGGAATATGGTTTCACAGCATATTGTTGAGACCTCGAACAACCGGAGCACCACGAGTGGACCGAATTAGACCATTGATGAACACTGTACTAGGTATGAAAACGGAGGATCCCGGCCGCGACGTGCGTTCGTCCTGATGACCGAGCTACCCTAACATCTCCCTCGACATCGCAAGCCAGCCTTGTGGCGTTACAAGCCCAACACAACTCGGATTCACAGAATATGGACCCAGTCCTGGTCATCGGCGGGTGTGGTTGCTTAGGCTACCACATTGTTAAACAACTTCTGGAGTCCGGCGCTTCCGAAGTTACAGCTTTCGACATCAACATCGAGAAAAATATCGTCCCAAAGGCAAAATATATGAAAGGAAGCATCCAGGTCGACGAAGACGTGTATCGGGTCCTCCAAAACGTTAAACCGCGAACCATCTTTCATACAGCCTCACCATCGATGCTGGGACAGCGAAACACGCGAAGGATCTTTGCAGCTGCTAACATAGGAGGCACCAAGATACTACTTAAGAACATAAAGAAGGTCGGAACCACAAAAGTGTTGGTCTACACCTCATCCTCTTCCGTCATCCATGACAACATGACTGACCTCATCCGTGCTACTGAGGACCGCCCATACTGCCTTGAACCGGAGCAAAAGGACTACTACACCCACACAAAGGCAATTGCTGAGATGATGGTACTGGAAGCAAACAGGAAGGACGGACTTCTCACCGCCGCAATACGAGGATGCCTCATCTTCGGGGAGAACGACAACGCCATGCCTACACAGATCGGCTATGCCAGATCCAAACTTGCTCGACTGCAAGTGGGCGATGGAAAGAACCTATGTGACTAGACTTACGTCGGTAACTGCGCTCATGCACATATTCTCGCAGCAAAAGCGCTCCTCCAGATGGATCCGCACGTGCCGCTCGCTCCAGAGGATCAGAACAAGAGAGTCGATGGGGAAGCCTTCGTAATTACCAATGACGATCCGTGGCCCTTTTGGGATTTTCCTCATACTGTGGGAGCAGCCGCCGGCTACCCAGTGAATAAAGAACAGATATGGGTCATGCCAGCATGGCTGTTCTACGCGCTGGCTGTTCTCACAGAGTGGACGGTGTGGCTGCTAAGCTTTGGGCGTAGAGAGTCTCATATGAATCGAAAAATGGTCAGATACTTTACTATGACGAGAACGTTCGATATCACCAAAGCAAAGGGGCGACTGGGATACAGGCCACAGGTGGGCATGGTGGATGGGATAAAGCGTGCGGTTAATGCATACTTGGAAAGCGAGTCATACGAGAAAAAGAAGGTTCGCTAAGGCGTTATTGATAAAGACGGGTGCAATCGTCTTTACTAATGTAAAGTCCAGGTGTAACTCGACGTCCTTTGCACTGCAACGCACCGGGTACAAAGGCGAACGAAGATCGACAAACAGCAGTACCTTGGAGATGTAAGTGGGCGAGGTGTTTACAATTCATGCGGCATTTTTGAATATCATCATGTATCTACAATTCTCGGACATACATATAACAACCGAGATTGAAATTTGAGCACATCTGCTACGTCCTCTTGTGCGCCTTCAAAGCAGATGGAGAGGAAAAGGTGAGAAGACTGGACAGAATTCCAGTCTCGGAGCAGAACATCGACCGGACTAGGGTTATTCACTGGATTAGACTTGATGATATGTACCTCCTTCGAGATGCAAAGTGGAATATTGACTGGGGCTACTTAGGAATTCCAGCTCAATGGAGGGTTCTTTCTGAGGGTCATTGATGCCATGGAGTCGAGGGTAGGTAATTCTCTCCTGACTTGGAATATTTCTGAAGCTTTCCTTGCTTCCGCTTTGGTTGCTTAGAAAACGGGAGCGGAGCGTGGAAAGACTTGCTCTGCTTTTTTGGATGAACACCGGCATGAACAGCAAACACGGTGCAATGATAACGATATTAATCTCGGCGACGCTAAACTCGGAGGTAGTAACCGCTGCCCAAAAGACATCTCTTTCGTGGAGAGATTTGATGGACCATCCAAACCAGACGACACTGGCGATGCAAGCTCTACGTTGAGTTAGAAACTGTTCACTGAGACAGTGAGACTGGATTATACTAAAGACTTACAGAGAGCCAACACCGAACACTGCTGCGACACCTAGTTTCCTCGTCCTATCTATGTTCAGATTATACACCTGTTGGAGAGGAATGAAAAGGATATAGAAATCTAAGAAAACATTGACGCCAGCCTGCGCTGTGGTGACTTTGGAGGTGTTGGTCCAGAACTTGTTGCTCAGCGCCTCCAAACCCATGCATTCGACTGCTTGTGCGATCACGACGCCGAGGAACGCTAGCGAGAAGGCAATGTTGAAGACGATGGCGGTCCAAATAAGAATTCTTGTTAATCGGATCACCTCGAAGGAACGCAGATATAGAATCAGAACGGAGAGCTTCGCAAACCCGACGGCTATGATATATGTTGTGGAAATTTGGTTCATTCGCTACACCCTTTAGCAAATCCTCTCCAGCTACGAATTGAAAATACTTACCAGAAGACTTTCACGAGTCAGTGTTACCCCTCGAATGTCCCACATATGCCGGCCATAGCCAACCTTAAGATCTGAGTGGCATGAGTGACGCCCGTGTTCTGACCGACACCCACACTTACTTGATATCTCAAGTACGCTATGCGCAACTGATCCCATTACCGCTACTATGCACATCACTGGCCGAAATGTAAGCGAATTTGCTCTTTATGCCTATGAAGGCTTCATACATCCATCCCAACCTACGCGGTTTTCCCCTCTGCGCCGAATGATGAATCGCATTAGGACAGCAGCGGTCATGAGGGTAAGGAATACCGCATTGATGATGATAATTTCGTCATTGCGGTTTTCAGGGTTGTCAAAATTTGAGTGCTTCCCCGGAGGAGGAGGCAGCGCAGGTAGATTCCATAGCGCGGCGGACACCCCGGGCGGTGAGGAAGTCATGCTGTCAGAGTCCCTGGCGTGCCAGATCTAGCGGCATGCGCTTGTAAGAACGGAGCAACGTCGAACACAACGGGAACCGCTTAAGGACTTGGGTCCATAAAGCCAAAGTGTACCTTAGGGTACATGCGGCGTCCACTGTCATGGAGGGCCATATGGAATGCATATGTGCAAGTGAGGCGTGAGTCCACGAACTTAGTAAGTACGGAGCTCAGAAGTAAGCGGATAACCATGGATACGGCGCGGATAAAACAAAGGCGTCGCCAATAGATTTGATGCTTCGAAGGTTCTGTGAAGATCGCAGGGCTCCATGAAGCAGGGCGGCAGCCCTCCTGGCTTGCCTTCATCATGTACTTACCATCACCGAATAACCACTTGTACTAACCTCTGTCTGCGGCACGAACCACATAGTCGCGGCTGGTTGCCACTGTAATATGTGTATATTTCCCATCCTTCTTTTTGACATCTTTCAGGATGTTGCAACAGGATCAATCCGCGTGTGGCACAGATTTGTTGAGCGGAATATATTCGAACTCACGCGAGAGACTGAACTATAATCACTTTTTGTCTCAACAAGATTCACTCTTTTGCCGAACCCCACGGCGGGACATATTCATGTTTCCAATCGATAGGCCGTGGCTCAGGAATACTGCGGTGCCTTTAGGCGCCATGATAATTCTCCGGTAGTACAGAATGCACGCATGTGGCGAGGGCGGGAAATGGGAAGAATTACATTGCCCCAATCCATTATTTTGCAAGCCCAAGGGAGTAAGCGGTAATGGTTCGAGCCAAACGAGATCCTTGCGCCCGAAAATGAGCCCAAAGTTCCAAGCCCCGTCCGTTCAATTATAATCACGAGGCCATTGGGAGTTTAAACCCTTCTCGTCGGGAGTGATTCCACCGTGATGGGCGGGATGAAGGCGTTAATTAGGGTGTGGTCAATATATTCTGAACAGAGAGGTTGGTAATGATTGATGGTACTATTAGTAAAGCGTGCAATTTGGGGAGATAACATTCGAACCCCCGAGCGTTATTAGAAGTCTCTTTGTCTGCCGGGCTGCAATACGCGCCGCCCATTGTCCGCCTCTCCTCGCTTTTACTGGAAATCTCAAGCAGATAAACAATGGACTCAAAGATCTTCCATTGGTGCAATCCTGACAGCCTCCGCCCGTTTGGAGACGCATAAGTTAATGACTCAATCATGCCCTTACGGTTGCGGTGCGCGTCACAGTAACAACTACAGTCTGCCCAGGGAGTGTAGTCACGACTCTACTAGGCGGACGACTCGTCGTTCTGGTCAGAGTCACAACCGAGACTCGGATGTCGGGGACTGTCACAGTAGTCGTGGTGGGTATAAATCTTGTGCGTGTCCTGGTTATCGGCACAACCACGGTCCTAGTCCTTGTGATAGTCCTTATGAACGGGTTTCTGATTGTACGAGTGGTTGTAGCCGTGGTCGTCGAAATTGAGGTGGTCGTGGCAGTCTCTGTTGCGGTTTCAGTTTCGGTTTGGGTTTCCGTTTCGGTGGAAGTCAGAGTGAGAACGGATACTTCTGTCGATGTTGTAGGCACATATTCTGTGCTCGTGGACGTTACTACGCTTAGGGCGCTGACGAACGACGTTTCGGTAGTGGTCAGCGTAGATGTCTCTGTGCTTGTGCTCACAGTACTAATGACAATTGGTTGGTTTGTGACAGTAGCGACGCTGATGCTGTGTTAACAACAGCTGCGAGAAAGTGCTCTATCAGGAACCTGACATACCTTGTGACTGTTTCCGTTATAGAGCTAGCACTGAGTGTTAATATAGATGTTTTCGTAACTGTAGGGCCAAGTATAGTTCTTGATTCTTCGTTAGCCAAGCTGATGGCGTCCAATGTTTTGTGATTAGCTTACGTTGGAATCGGAGCAGGGGTCAAAGTCTCGGTAAGCGTTGTTGTCGTGATGTCTATTATGGTCGACGTATTTCCGATTATGTATACTGTAGATGTCCCAGTAAACTCTGTTGTAGTAATAGTAGCCTGGTTTGTCAGCTATACAAATGATTAAAGAAGAACGAATCTTCATCGACGTACGGGTGTGTCCGTTGATATGGAAGTAAGAGTTATGGTGCTTGCGTCAGGAGCAAAACAGGATGATATGTCCGTAGCGGTTGTGAAGTTTTCTGTCGTCGGGGCGAAGATGGTCACATTAGATGAGATGGTGGGCGCTATGGTCGATGCGTTGAGCGTAATTGACAAATTAAAAGATGGGAATTCCGTAGGGAGCGTGAGCAACGCATCCGATGTGATGGACACATCGATGGATGGAACGTTGGGTGTAGTTTCGACGCTCGCGACTGTGGTTGCGTTGAGCGCAGTTGCAATATCGCTGACACTGAACGACGAGAAATGAGAAATCGGAAGTGCCGTAGCTATGGACGAGCCCGGGCCGGTAGACGTAAGATCAACGGAAAGGGTCGCCGACTCGAATGCCACCTGTGATTGATTAGCCCATATCTCATGTGCTACAACTTATACAAACCGTGGTTGGCAGCTCAGTGGAGGTGTTTTCAAATGGCGGAACAGCAACGCTAGTTACCACGACCGTGACTGTTTTAGTGACTATTGTTTCATCGGGGTTTACGATTATGACATTGATATCGGCTTCCTGAGGATCTCTTGTCACAGTAACACTTTGAACATTCTGCAGTTGGGCGTTGCGAGGAAACCACCTAGCATTGGCGGGGCGAGCCTGTAGGCAGAATACAAAGGTAGTGGCAAAAATGAGTGACAAGAATGACCGAGGCATCGTGTCCGATAGTGAGCGGCTTTGGTAGGGGAGAAAGAGAGACTTGGACTCGAAAGAGTGTTGTCGGGCATCATTTATGATGGCAGTAAACGCGTCTGTGGCCACGCGCGTAGGAATGTAGCGTCAGGAATGCACAATATCATGTCGTTGAAGGCAGAACCGACTACCTGGTCGGTCTATCACAGGAATGTGTTTCTGGACAGAAGAAGCGTGCATCGGGGTGTACAATCATCCTTTTTTGCAGCCGTCTCGAATAGAAGCAGACAGGGAGTGGAAGTCGCAAGGGAAGAGGCACACGAGCCGCCCGTCACGAATGTGCAATCTTGTACGCATAGCACCCTATATTAGAATGTAGCATCCTAGAGCACTAGAACCACACGATAGGATGATAAGGTGATGGGTTGGTTCGCTGAAGCCCTGGAGAAGCGCTAACCCAACCCTTGGGAATCTAGAGGTTACCACATGAGGTAGATGCTTCTCCCTGCCTACCCTAGGGTGGGTAGTACACCTTAGGCATTGATGTATACACCTACAATAATCCACCGGCATGTAACGCTTGAGCTGGACTGAACTGACGCGCCGCAGAAGGTCGATGGAGAACTTCTTTTGGTGTCTCCCCGAGCGTCGGAACAGTTTTCGATCGTTGCTAGCACTGGGGGTTAAATTTTCGTGATGAAAGAGACCACGTAGGAGAGTATCGTTGCCGCTCCTCTCGGATAAGGAAAGCTAAACGTGCCATATTGTCCTCCCACTGCGGGCCAGATGGAGCATATTCTAAGTACATCGCGCCATTGAGCCGATGGCTTGAGTCCAAAGAGGTTTCTCGAGCTGCCCAAAGATGGCAAGTACGACGTAAATGCAATAGGCGAGAAAAGCTGCGTAATGCTTTTGAGGAGAGTTAGCCAGATTCCCGACTTCAAAAATCAATGCCCGTGACGCTGGGTTAAAGAAAGGGTAGCATGATGCGCGTTAACTCGGACGCTTGCCTAATTAGTTCCTAATGGCCGGGGGAAAAGGGTCGCCTCTATTAGACTGTGTGCCGCAGGGTGCCTCTGTTGCTACGGTATTGTTCTGTGCCTCTCGGTGCTACTTCCCAGGGTTGGCTTTAGAGACTGGAGCCTATTAGTAACCGCTCGCCAGATTGTGTTCACAGCGTACCGTTACTGTCGCTCGGACTGGTGTAGCTAACCGGTGGATTGCTCTCCAATTGCCGCATAGAGAGACCGGATTGAAACTCTCGTTGAGAAGGCGTAATGACTGCACTATAAGTGCTACAAGATCGCAATGGCTGCACTCAGATGTCAGTGAGAGCTAAGATGCAGTAAATCTCTGGCGCGAGACCTATCTGTGTTGTTTCAAGCCAGCTGGCGAGTCGCAAAAACGAAGTCACGGGATTATTTCGGGGTGCGATCTAACTGCTTTTGTACACCTTACATGATTCTCTGTTAGACAGCGGGGTCGAGGGACCGGCACAGCTGCACAAGGAGAGAACACAGCATATCTCACCTCGGTCTGCACTTATAGACAGTAAATGAGAACAGGAATTTTTTGATATGCTAGATACTGTACACCGTTTCGGGGAGAGGGGCATGTATGTGCATAAGGGTACACTTCACTCGCCGTCTATGTCCATACCCAAACTCGCTCCCCGTCGAACTGCTACCCTACGGTAGGATTGAAGATGAGTAGAACCAGAGCGTATTGAGCTGCAGGGCTAGAGACACTCATACCCAATTGCTGCCATGTGTTGACGGACATGCTCCGATGCGCGCCACCTGCCTGCAGCCTCCACGTCCGGGTTGACTCCCGGCGAAGTCAGAGTCCGCTTAGGATCGATTCGATCCCAGTTATCCTGAACATAGTTGGCAAACTTGCTGAGCAACACATCATCGTCCCGCTCAACAGCAAGAGCAATAGCGGCCGTCAAGATGTGGGCATCCTTTCCTTGCGGGTGATGTACGACACCATCTGCCAAGTCCTTCAGGCGATAATCGTGAGATGCCTCCATGTTCCCACGCGCGTCGCTGGAGTTCAGAAAGTTGTACTTGGTGACACGGCCTTTGTCTAGGGTCTTCCCTTCCGCTTTTGCCCATTCCTTCGCCTTCGAGTTCTGGTGAACGAGCTTCGTCGCTCGAAGGGCCTTTGGATTGGTTATCCCGCGGCTCCAGAGCTGTCCCAACGGTTAGCGAGGGAAATGTATATATCGAACTAGTTTCCACTCACAATGTACTGGACTATATCGTTTTCAGTCCATCCATTATTGCCCAGGCGCCACATAACTTCCCTCCAGATTGTGTGGTGGGGAAAGTACTTGAATTGTAAGCTTGCGTTCGGCTAGCCAGAACATGTGATGGAAACAGAAACTCACCGTCAGTAACTCCACAGCCGAGATATCATGCCCTGCCAAGTACGAAATGTCTGTCGCGGGGTCAGGGGCGTGGCTGTTCAGCTGGCAATGGCTGGGCGTTGTTGCCCGCTCGGGCAAGCGCTTTCCAGGATTCTCGATCTGCCAGACGACTTTACGACCCTGAGGCCATTCATGCATCTGAACGCCTTTTCCAGTTGTTTTTGTCCTCTTCCCGACGTGCGATGCAGCCTGGGATTGCTGCCTCTCGCTGTTACTGATCGTTCCTGCAGAGCCATTGCTTGGAGGCTGCGATGCCGAAGCTGTCGAGGCGGTCGATTCAGCTGGCATACCGGAGGGACTTATTGCAGTCCCATGTCCGATATCATTACATTCTCTGAGTGTGTTGATTTCAGGAGAAAGCAAAGAAGAGTTCAAAGTCTGCAGGGTTGCTGCACCTGGGAGCGAATTTTCCTCGAGCGTGACGACCTTCCTGCGCTTCGTTTCAGGAGCTTGTTGTAAGCTCAGACTTGAATGGTTCTTGCCATCATCAGTTGTCCTCTTATCAATGTTCGCATCCTCCACGCCGACCGTATTGGAGGTTCGTTTCCTTGGAACTGCCCCCGTCGACATTTTGTACTGCAGGGAACTCAGAGCAGAACTCAGAGCAGTGTCACTCTTCGAACCAGCAAGGTCAGAAGACAGCTCCGCCTTTGCGTCCGGGAGGGAAGATTGGCGGTGTTGCGCCGCGTTGTTAAGCATGATGGGCGGATTAGGCATGGAGTCGTCTTTGTTGTCTGAACCATCTGATTTCCACGTCAACTGCTCTTCCGAGCTGTAAGGACATGGTTGGAAGTTCTTACTGATGGTGCCACTCAAACTCCCTGCGCTATTTGGGTAGCGGGGTGCTACCGCAAGAGGAAGACTAGGTCGAGTCTCGTTCGACTTTCCTAAGGTGGACGGGACGGGGACGCTGTTCACATCAGGATAGATGTGTTGCAGAGACGGCTCGGGCCATTCAAAAGCATGCTCTCTATGAAGTCGTATTTGGTTCTCGTACTCCAGTTCCCAGGGCTCACTCGATCTCTCTGCGACTCATTAGTCCGGTTACCTGACTGTGTCGGGCGGCGTACCCTCAAGACTAGGCTCAGGCCAAACAACCAGCCGCGTGTGTTGGACTGGATGGAGTCGTTTCCATGCAGCTGTATGTCCTGCAGCTGACATTGTGAAGAATGGACAGTGCAGCGCAGCGACGTTGGCAAGGAGTGTGGACGAAGTGGAAACCGGAGCGTCTGTAGCTGAAGTCAGTGAGTTGATGTTGCAGCTAGAGCAGGCGAGGATAAACAGCACGGGCCATTGGTTCTCATAGGGCTGGCTAACCCTATCAGGCAATTTTGATGATCGGTGGTGAAGCAACCCTCTTGCACAATGCGGATCCAACCATATACAATGTTAAACTGTGGATATATACAATGCAATCTTCTAAATTCTCGTTCTAATCACAATGCTTTCTGCGCCTGTGTGCCGACGTTGGATTCCGTGCAGCCCGGAAAGGCGACGGAGGCTGGCGACGTTGGTGACGCGCCGGGCAGTCCCAACGCCCCCCATCGTTCCCACAATCACAGACTTGCGTCTACACCATCCGCAAGGTTACGAACATGAGCCTTTTGTATTGCTCCTGCCTGCTTGTCCCACTGGTTGTCTCTCGCGGCGCAATCTGACGCGCCGGACAGGCGCCACATCATGGGAGGTAAACACTTCGCCACCTTCAGCTTCCATGCTCTCACCATCCCATACGTGTATCAACAATGCGAAGACAAACACCAAATGTGTCAGCAGATGCACCCATAATTATAGCAGCTTGCAAGAGCCAACGACACCGGCGATGGGGAGAGGCGACTCCACGCGCACTGCAGACCGCGCGCACAGTGGGGAGGTGAGCAATCACGTCCACAGATTCCGTGACCAGCGGTCCATTGGGACATTTTTGGGGGAAGACGGGATGGCTCACTGGGAGGCAGTAGGATTCCCGTTCCATTTCGAAGGATCCGAGTCGGACGGCCGTCACGCGGCTGGGGAGCCGGCGCGACAACAGAGCCCCTCGAGAAGTCGAAACAACGTGTCATTAAACAAAAGCTTCATCTTCACAGATAGGGCAGTCAACGGCTTGTAATGAAGAGGACGGGAAACGCGATGGGAAACACTGGGGGGCAGGAGGCCATTTCCTACTGTGGCCGGCTCGGGCCAACACCATCTGGGAAGCCTGGGAAGCACCTAGGAACCGGTCCTCATGAGTTTGTCAATACACTATGTGAAATTTCCCAAGCAATTGTACAATGTGGCTGACCTTGGAATTTCTAGAATGCTTCTCACCCGTCGCCCGCGCTGGTCCCCTGGGTCCGATCATGCCCTTCGCCGAGAACGAAGGCTCATCCTCTCCGACACCGAGCTTCCCCTTTGCATACAGTCCTGGTCGCCCTCCTGACACTTTTTCAATGTATAACGCCCTTTCCGCGGCACCAGCGCCCTTCCCCAATGTCGAATTGAATGTCCCGCGCCGTGGTCCTCGAGAGTTCCCAAGGGTTGGTCGACATTCCGCCTTGATCGGTTCGAGCCGGCTTTCTCCGGGATCTTTTTTTGACGCATTATTCGGAGCTTGCAACTTTCTCGAAGCATGGGTACATAGCACATCTCCAAAGAAGATTTCCAAACGGCACAATCTACATTCCCTACTTATTATGAGTGGACTATCGGGATGCGACGGGGCCGACTGGGCATTCGAAGACCATCAGTTGACGGACTCTGCAATTCACGCAACTGTACGAGGGTGGCGCGAAAGGGCAAAATAAGATGATCACCGCTAGTTCTGGGGTTGCCGTGAGAGCTCGTTGTGCAGGGATGAGGAATTGAGCATGAGACTATTACGTGAGTGAAAGGAACTCTGTTGCATTTAGCATCGACAAAGGACATTGTTCAAGCCTCGACTGGTGGTACTCTCTGCATTGTCCGGTTCGCGAGGCGCGAGGAAAGGCGAAAGTCGGAAATATCGTCGCTGAACAATGTCCATTTAAGCCAGCCTTCATTGGTATTCAAAGCGGGTTTTGTTTGGAGGCCAAGTCGCCTACCATTTCAATTGAAAGTCAGAAAGAGTCAGATTTAAGTATCCCCAACATGCTTAACCCTTGTGCCATCCCTCCGCCCTATGCGCCGGCCCATGCAAATTTCAGCTCCTAGAAGTATTCCCCGAGCCATTGGTCCAGCGATGAAGACCCAGAAGCCACTTCCTAGGGTTCACAGCGGCTAAAGAAAACCGCACCCTCCGCCTCCGCCCATTCTTTACGAACCAATATAGGGAATCCCGCCGCAGGATACCGCTTTTGTGAGATATGAGAAACGAACGGTCACTCTCCGAATCAGTCATAGCGTTCTGAGCTATCTATGCATTTCAGCTGACTGTAAACCGGATCCACGATGGTCGCACCTACCGCGGATAGACTGCCGGTGTTGTCAATTCCGTGCTCCTAGCGCCGCCTCCAGTTGATTCTGGAGATGAATCGTTTGATATCCGCTGACGATCTCCATCGTTCGGCCGCCTCCTTGTCAGGATTGCCACTGCCCCGGATTTGAACCAGGCCTGCCTCCAGTGCGGCTCGATTATCGTGTACGTACTGGGAAAAGTTGCTGAGGAGTACGTCTTCACCACGCTCTACAGCCCGCTCAATCGCGGCAGTCAGTAGTTGGCGATCGACACCACTCGGCATGTGTGCGACACCATTGGCCAGGTCTCGAGGGCGATAGTCCTCGAGGTCATTGGTCTTTTTGTGGTAGCCTTGGTCGGTTGAAACATTGGAGAAATCCAGCTGGGCATATTCACCGTTCTGGATTCCTTGCTGCTGTGCCCACTCGCGAGCTTTCTTCCGCTGTTGAACAAGGGTTGTTGAGTTGATGGCTCCAGAATCCGAGATGTCGCGCGAGAATAGCTGCGCCATGTATTAGTGGTAATCATACCTTGCAGACGAGAGACTTACAATGAACTTTGCGATGTCGTTTGGATCCCAGCCATTGCTCCACAGTCTGAATATCACTTCTCTCCAAAGAGTACTCAAGGGGAAGAACTAGATGATGTTAGTTGCACAATGCCCAGGGACCGCCCCGTGTGGGGATTTGAACATACCATCAGAACCTCCACTGCTGATACGTAATGTCCTCCAAGATGGGTCAGGTCGACATTTGACGAAGGGCAGAAACTATATAGCGGCGACGGTGGGCTCGCAGTTGCCTCCGCAGGTAGCGCCTTCCCGGACTGCGTCCAGATATGCTTGCGTCCATCCGACCATGCGTACTTGGGCAAGCCCGGCCTCTTCTGTGCGGGAACTGAAATGAGGTTGCGTCCGGCTGGGAGCGCGATGGGCGTATCTGCGGGCCCGCTGGCAGCAAAGCGTTTGGCATCGCTGCTCTCTTGTGAGTAGCCATCGTCATCCACGGCATGTTCCTGAGGTTTGGGTTGACTGGTGTCTGTGCATCCTGGAGCGCTCTTGCGCTTCCTTGGTGGGGTACTATTCTGGGTATATATATCCGACATGTATGTCGAAGGACTCCCCTCACTGGCGGTTTCAGAATCCGACAGAAACAGACATTCGTGGTGCTTGACCAAATCTGGACTTGCTGACCGCGGAGCGAATTTGCGGTCAGCCGCATCCTGTCTGTCTTTTGCGGTCCCTTGAGTCCAGATCCAGCCCTCGGTATTGCGTGGGTCGTAGTTGTAAAAGGCGCGAGCTAGAATCTCCGGGCCTACAACTGACAGGAGAGAAGAACTCGCCCTCGGCCGCTTCGCAGTTGGCTGCTCATATGGATGCACAACCCCCATCTTTGGGCAGGCGGAGCGCAGGGTCGGAGCTCTACGCTTCGAGTGCGGCGTGCTGCTGATGTCTTGCGAGGTCAGTGTGCTGTGTTTACTATGAATTCTCCCTGTACCACTCACTGAGCTTGGCTCCAGTCGGTTGCAGGATGGAGTGGAACTCAACCGTTGCCTCTGTTTGTACTTCTCCGCCGTCTTTGTCCTTGGGAGCGGGACGCGATGGGGAAACTAGCAGTGAGGCAGGATCCGCGTGGGAATCTTCTCTCCGTTCATCAGTCGGTTGCTTGTCGACGGACGTCGCGCCGGGTGAGGGGATTGGAATGACAGGTTCATCAGCCATTTAGACGTTCAACTCTGAGAGTTACGACGTAGCCATAGGCAGCTTCTTGGTTTTGAGACCTTCGAACTTGTATCTCGCCCTCTCCTGCTCCCCCCAGACCGACCTTCGCGATTCGAAAATGCCCAGCGATCTTGCGTTGGAAAGGTAGTGGCAGTGATGGTGAGCAAAGTCGAGTGGACCAACAAAATTGGCCAAAGTGACGGTACCAAAACAAGCGGAAGGATCAGAAGGGAGCGTCGTTGGGGTTTGGTACGTCCGCCCACGTGATTCCCATTGCATCTCATAAACGCGCTTTAAACTCCTTCCGGGGCCACCCCAGCACAGTGGCGCTAATATAGTCACGTGGGCACGCATCTGCCTGATTTCCTTGATCTTTAACCATGTCTGATGAGCAAAGTTCCTGTTTCCGAGGGCACGAGAAAGCGGCCTCTGCAACAACATGAACGAGAGCCTCCTCACCCAACCTACAAGCATAAGTGTATATATGGATTGGCCATGAGTTGGGTATTCGCAGCCAGATATGGAGAATCTGTCCGAGTTGAGGCACCGGACGGAATCTACAGAAAGTCGCCAAGGAGGATCAAAGTGCCTCGCTTTTGGGCCAAAAGGGAAACAAGCTCACAGTTGAACTTTCGGCGTCGGAACATTTCCGGGTACTATAGCAGGACTTTCTGTTAGGGTCCGCAGAGCTTTTTTATACTCCCGGCTCTGATTGCTCGTTAATTGAATTCGGGCACAAGTAGTTTCCTTTTGTTACTCAGGCGTACTACTGTGTTTGTTATATGCTACGAAAACTGACAGCAGCCGGGGGCTCAGCTGCATGTGAATAGCCTTGTTTCGTGCTTCAGCTGCCCTTGAAGACAAATAAGCATGACAATGGGACTGTTGATTGACAACGTCGAAACCCCATATGAAAACCCTAGTCACCACAAACATAGTCAAGCCACATTGTTAGGGCTTAATGATTCCAGCATTGTACAGGAGTTGATTTTCGCTACAGCCGATACCGAGAGTCAAATTCTTGGGGAGAATGAACAGAGCAGTTACTCAAACCAGATCCAACGCACCGCCTAAGCTAGTTTGTACCAAATGTGTGCCGGATAGTCCATGACAGCACGAGACTCTCTCCATCGTCCCGCCGACTCCACGTCAGGATTGACCCCCTGTGACACTTGTCTGAGACTCTGCTCTAACTGCTGCCTATGAGCTTGCACATAGTCATGAAACTGGCTTAACAGGACGTCGTTTCCCTTGAACGATAGCGAGTTCAATGGCTGCCGTGAGAATCTGGCGATCAGTGCCTCTGGGCATGTGCACAACCCCTTCAGCCAGATCCCTAAGTCTGTAATCGTGTACGCCCCCACTTCGTGCGTAGGACCCACGGTCCTGAGAGATACCTTGCATGTCAAGTTTTGTGACCCGCCCAGCCTTAAGGCCATGTGCAGCCGCCCATGCGTTCGTCTCCTTGCGCTGTTTATAGAGGGTTGTCCGGTGGATAACACTAGCGTCTGTAATGCGACGGGTATACAGCTAATGCAAAAGCAGAGTTAGCTTGGCAATCAAATCAGAGTAAAACGGCTTACCACAGCGGAAATAATTTCGTTCGGCTGCCAGCCATTGTTGGACAATCGCCACATGACTTCGCGCCACAGAGTATGGGCTGGAAAAAACTGTGTGAAGTTAGCACTAGCTATCCATATGAATATTCCTCACAAAGGAGAAGACTTACTGTGACTATCTCCACGGCTGACACATTATAACTTCCAATCAGTGAAAGGTCGACAGTGGGAGGTGTGCAGTGCGAATGTAAGGGGGAGATAAACGGGGTATTCGCGTTGAGAGGCAGCGCTTGTGAGGCGTGAAGCCTCCGCCAGATGTATTTACGCCCATTTTACCATGTATACGGCGTAATACCCCTCTTCTTGCGTCCTTGCGTGCCCGCTGCGCGCACTTGCGCAGCACTGGCAGAAAGATGAGATCCCGCTGCCACGATCCCTAGCTGAGGTGCCGCGAGTGGAAATACGGACTGATAAGACTCCAGTGCCGACGCAGTTCCACCAGACAAGTTGATTTTAGCAGCTGAAATATGTTCCAATGAAGACATCGGGCTCTGCGTTACGGGCACGGTCGATGTATGATTCAAATTCCTTGCGAAAGCATTTGTGGACATGCTCGTAGTCGTAAAACCCCAGAAAACTTGAAGGTTGTTGCGATGTAATAGCGGAAGAACGTGGTGTCGCACCATGGCTCATCGGACGATGCCCAACAATTCCCCTTGGAGCGACTGGTGACGAGGTCACTTCCGAATTCCTCGCCCGTTCCGTCCTGGGTTCCTTGAAGCGGCGTGATTCGAAGTCTGAAGTCGCGTTACTTGACTGGAGATTGATATCCTCAGAGATTGAAGCCGAGTAAGGAGACCGAATCCCCTTGTAACCTTCCTCGGGATCAGGGTACTTCGTTGGCCGGACTTCGCCAGTCTCGAAAAAGTGCTGAACATCGTACCCGGCCACTGATGGGTCAAACGCAGCGAGGTCACAAGACCAGCCTCCAACACTCACTGCGGTGCCTTTCTGTGTCAGCATAAATATAGTTTATGGGAGGAGCCCGCCTGCTGTGAACTTACGCAATGGTTGATCAATGTTCTCATGGTAGGCGCTGGAACCATTATGCAGGTTGGTCGAGGCTTCTTCATTGTTTGCCGTGGCTGAAAATTGGCAGCCTAACGCAAGATGAGGGTCAACATATTCCCGAGGATTGGCAGATGTGTTGACTGGAGTACAGTTCCATGCCCCGGCATCAGAGTCTTCTCCGCGCTCGTTCATAACTGGTACAAGGGTGTTCATATATTGAACTATCGCTGCAAGTCCTGGTTAGCATAGGCCATATCGAACATACATAGGTATAGTAGGCTTACCACTATTGGCTTGTTCAAACGAGAGCGCACCGTCTTCCATCTTACGAAGCCTGAGTATACCACCGACGTAACAGATCACCCGTGTGTCTATCAAGTTGGGGTTTAGTTGAGGTAAGGACAAGTTGATGTTAGGTTGCGAATGGAGTGGACGAGGAGCGGATCTGGTAGAAAGGAGCACTTGTGGGCCCACGGTGAATAGGACGTGTATGGTTGACTGCGGCGCGCGGCGCCAACTGGACGGGGCGGCCGCGTTTCTTGGTCACGCAAGTCGGAGCCCACCATCGTTCGCACTACCATTCCAAGACACATCGGTGAAAGTGTCATGGGAGTGAGTTCTCTTCGGTCACCTACATGTTTGCACAGCATTGTGCACCTCTACCGGTACCGATACATATAGCGATAAGCAGTCTTTGATTATAAGAGAATAGGAATAATTTTATAGTTAGTGTATATATTTCGGCGTGACCTGTTCGGACACTGAGAATAGTTAAAAGGATGTAGCAGTGCAATTGTTTCACCCCAACCTTGGGCAGAGGAGACTCTAGCGATACAAATAGAGAATGGCGCTCTTGTTTTTTGTTTGGCACTCACCATACCGAACCTATTACAACAAGCGGATTTCCTATAATATGCCAAAAATTCTATCATGTCCTTAAATCTGCAGGTGCGGTCACAGGGTAAAATTTCAATTGCCCTTTCAGCACAATCTTGGAAACATCGCCTTAGGTGGCGTGTCTAGAACCTGCAAGCTGGTGCCTTGATCCACGCCCTTGGCAAAATTTCCCAAAGCCGTTACCCTCAAACCTGCCGTTCACCGCCGGGGCCGCCGGGGTGGCAGCACTGAGACCGCTTGTTCTTAGGGCACGTGCACGTGCATCGCTCCAATCTGAATTGCTGCAATCATAAAACAACGCCTCACATGACGGCAACACTGTAGCATGCTATCTGTGTTTTCTCAGGCTTATGCTGTTGAATGTCAGATTTTTTTAATTTACCGCGGTGTGGAAAATATGTGACCTGTGCGTTTTCCGCAAACAACACGCGTCAACACTGAGCGTGTTCGGCATACCCGTGCGCATGTGGAAGTGGATATGATTTCGCTAGCTTGCGTCGGCCATGGATCAATCTTTTCGTCACGTTTTTGCGATTTGTATGTCTGGGGCTGTGTTGAATTCCTTGTTAATTAGCAGGGATTATTGAGTACCCTCTGAATCGCGCAATGGTTTCCTTCCTAACCTACCGCTCGCGCCTTCCCATGGGGGCGTTTCCATTACCAGATACGTCTTCTCGTCATAGCAAATGTTGAATGACGATGAACTGATCTCGAACTCTTTATTAACATAGAGGCCCCTCTTAGCTGGCTATTGTGATTGTAGAATAGCTTAACGAGGCCCTCGTAATGAGCTAGTGGCTTGCTGTGGCTCGACATTTGGTAGATCTAGATGCACTCTGAAGTTTGCACTCTGAAGTGCCAAAAGAGAAATGAATTGTGACGCGTCTGTGTAATAATCATATGTTTAAGATGGTGCTCCAAGTATATTTCTCAACCGCAAGAGATAACCCCAAAATTCCCCATTTTGACTTCGAATGTCAAGTCCATTAGGCCAGAGAGCCCTCGTTGTCGACGTTTTGGTCGCTTGCAATATTGGCCAATAATGAGATACTTTCGCAATGGGACGGTTGCCGTGTCACGGTCAGCCGGATGGCACTCGCGAGGTCCACCCGGTCGCAGCTTTTGGAACCTTGAGCTTCTGACACGCTATGGTGAAGGAGGTGAGTGTCGTTTCCAACTGTCGACATCCGAATACATAGACTCGGCCTCAAGTTGGAAAGACGAGTGACCGTCCTCATCTCCATGTGGATCAATAGGAGGCACAACGGGCGGGTCAGTAGGAGCGCGATCTACTATTCTGAGGCCACGCTCTACTTGGAGATTTCCTGTACCAGAGAGGCCTGTATCGCTTAAGCATATTTCGGTGACACCAAACTTGCGGCGCTCAACTCACCCTCCCTCAAGACAGTAATTGGCGCCGCGAGGGCGACAATTCCATATGCGAGAGGTAATAGAAGCGATGCAGTTCTCATGGCTCGGATAGGCAATTGCGATTCAATTGTCGGCTTCGCTCATGGGCTTCCCTCAGCATCCGCCTTTTATACATTCATCGCTTGGCAACGGTACCCGCAGCTTTCCGACCCGGCCATGCTTATGCACCCGGCCACTATCTCGTGCGAGAAGTGTGTGAGAACCAGGGTGGCCAAAGCAACCCAACCCAGAATATGGGGCCAGAATAGGATTCAAGCTACGCCATTGAGGTGCCGTATAGATGCAACACCGCAATTTCTCCCATGTGTTGCTAATCAAAACTCGAGAGAATCCTCTTCACAGAAGCCAAAAGCCGCACCCACGACTCGATTATTGTATTGATTTGCCGCCATTTTGACATTTAATCTCAATTCCACCGATTGCTCAAACAAGCCAGACAATGACCTTTCTCATATTTTGTGGGGGCGAGCTATTTCCGCCATGCTGGCCTTGTCTGGTGAGCTCAAATCGATAGTTCGCAGGGCGCAGCAGGGCGTACTCGCGCCTACGGACCCAAAGATGACAATATTTGCTGCTTGAATACCGGAAATTAATCCGGTATTCTGTGACGAAAATACCCCAAAGACCAATGCAGCCAATAACATATTCCCACCTTCTCCTAAACTTTTCATAAACCCTGTAACGCGTTGGGAATGTGGGCGCATCTTATGAGAGAATCTTACATCCCTGTAGTAAGCCTACGGCGGTGCAGCCAATGAGTTAGAACTTCGCCACGAGGCGGTTGATGTTCACGTTGAACTATTGTTTCAGCCTCACGGGGCGTAGCAAGACACCATGCAGCAAGGTACCCCGAATGCCGATATGACCTGCATTACAGTTATGTGGACAGCGCAGCGAAAGGCACCCGAAACACCATTATTCAGTCTCTCGATTCTAGCTTCCTACAAGCTGCTTGGTTAATTTCTAAGTCAGAACTCGAATAGAGTGTGCGTGCGTGGCACAATGTCAAACATCTCAGTCGCACATCCTTCTCCCTTTTCGTTCGCCTCTTCACAGTTATTCGACGGTACGGATGGGAGCTGGTCCTCGTTTATTGTCCGAGTAGGAAAACCTGAGCAGAACTTCCGGATCCTTCCCTCCACAACCGGGCGTGCAACCTGGCTGCCCCTCCCGCAAGCATGCAGACCTCAGGATCCGGATATATGTGGTCAATCAAGGGGTGGCTACCCTTCACAAGAGGGCAAGTACGGCTTTGATTATAACAGCTCTACGACCTGGAAACAGATTGGCATCTATAATCTTGAGATCGGTGAACGCTTGGATATCCCCGCGAAGGGCACATTCGGTTTCGACACCGTCGGATTACAAGTGCAGAACTCAGGCGGCCTCACCCTCTCCAATCAGATTGTTGCCGGCTTCGTTACTCAAAAATTCTGGAATGGCCAATTTGGCCTAGATGTCAAACCATCCAATTTCTCGGACTTTGAGAATCCTCAACCGTCCTTTATGACGAGCTTGAAGAATGAGCGTATGATACCAAGCCTCTCTTATGCCTATACAGCTGGTGCTTCCTACCGTAAGTTGGCGGATCACAATCTTGGGACCGGAGTTAACTCTTTTTCTAGGACAGCCCAAAGCATTAGGAAGCTTGACACTCGGGGGTTATGACGCTGCAAGATTCGATGAGAAATCAGACAGCTCAATCCACACATTCCCGTTCAACAGCGATGACTCGCGCATCCTTTCTTTGGGTGTTCAGTCAATTACTTCATCCACTTCGATTGTCGAGGATGGGCCACAGGGTCTCATGACAGCACCCATTGTGTCCATGATCGACTCAGCCGTTGCTCAGATCTATCTGCCTCGTGCTGTTTGCGACGAATTCCAGGCGCGTTTCGGCCTCACGTACGACAACCGAACAGGGTTTTATCTCGTTAATGACACAGTCCACACACGGCTTCAGCAACTCAACCCAACATTCACCTTTGTACTGGGCAACACCAACGATCCCTCCAAAGTGGTCAACATACGCCTTCCTTATGCCGCCTTTGACCTGCAGCTGACGTGGCCTATCTTCAACGAGACTAAAAATTACTTCCCCATACGGCGGGCAGTCAATGATAGTCAGTATACGCTTGGGCGGACCTTCCTCCAAGAAAGTTACCTCATCACCGACTACGAAAGATCCAACTTCTCCATCTATCAAGCGCGATTTGAAAATGGATTATCAGCACCTCAGCAGAAGATTATCCCAATCCTCTCTCCTTCCTCCCAGGACTCTACCTTGCCTGGTGCAACTCCATCTCCATCGGGGAGACGTTCACTGAGTGCATCAGCAATTGCGGGAATTACAGTAGGGACAGTAATTGGGGCTTTGTTGGTTGTTCTGCTTTTCCTCCTTTATATGCGCAGACGAAGGCATAGGGTATCTCCCGTCGAAGATGCTCCTTACCTGCCAGAGAAACCTGCTGTAACGTACGAGATGCATCAACAGCCGACAGAGCTAGTTGGGGACAAGGTCCAATATGAAATAGACTCGAAGACATATCATATGATGGCTGCTCACGGCAGCGAAAAGCACAACATGACCCACGAACGGGGTATACATGAGTTGCCAGCGTCAGATATTAGCGGGAGAGTGGAGAAGACAGGCAGAGAAAGTGAAAGATGTAGTGAGGGCAATTGGATATAGATGATGAGTTGAAAGCCATGCAGGTGGATTATGTTCAAGTAGCTCTGCAGCTCGGGGAAATGTGCGTAAGGTTGCATTCCCTTGTTCACCTATTATCTTAGAGAAGACCGGATTAATTACCAAATGTATCCACTTTGGAGCTACATTGTGTGATTTATTCTACATCTCGAACTGCTCTACGGTCTCGTTTGTCGCGTTAAGAATGCACTCGTGGCCAAGGATCCGTTGGTAGCGCGTTATCTACGCCCTGCTTTTTATAGCAAGGTTCACAGACCTTATGGATAGAGGAGCTGTGCGGCGCAGCCACTGGCACAGTGCACAAGCGGCACGCATACACACGTACATACACCCTCGTCCTCTCACTCTACCAACTCCTAAATCCCCCGGCCAATCACTAGCTTGGGGCTATATCCTCATTCCCAAACCTCCCCAGTTCAGAAATCTCCCATGTATTCGAGAACTTTCACGCGCTTGTCACCCCCCCGACCATGGCTGAAGATCTTCTCTGCCATTTTTACGAAACCAAAGTCGTCGTGGACCTCCGGCCTCCGCACACTAGAGAGGAGCCGAAGTTGACGGCTACAGAACGAATCCGTCTTTGGACTACATTCCGCGGTGTGTGGGACCTCATAAAGAAGCTACCTGACGAGGGCGGCGCAGAGGACGCAACCTCAGCAATCGGTTCCCTCCCAGCAAGAGATGCTTACTTGACGTGGGAGATAATAAGTTTCCTTCTTTGCTGTCTGTCAAAACCCGACCTTCGAGATATTTTGCGACTGCAAAGTGGAACTGAAGACTTTTATGATCGAGTGGGCGGAAAAGCCGGCATCGTACCCCTCCTTTCCAGTTGCGGTGACCGGCTGAGGCGCCTAGCGGAAGATCCGAACTCAACTTATCGGGGTCACTCACTTCCACCAAAGACGCCTCTAGGTTACTTTGGAATCTTCGATCACTGGCAAGAGGAATATATGGAGCAATTTGACTAAGTATGTACGTGGGGTTGCTCAAACGTGTATTGAATTTCATAGGCTGTGCGGTTGGAAGTACCACGAGTTGGTATACAAGCTCATACGTGGCACATACACTCTCACGGACTTAGAGTCGGTTGCGGCGTACCTAGGTATGTGCCGTTTGCACGGGGTAGGGGATTGCAGTGCGCCTGGGCGAGGCGAGAGAGCTGGAGCAGAGATGCTCAATGAACCGGGGATACTGTGGTAGTATCACAGAAGAAAAGCATCTAACTGGCCTCCTTTCGTGAGTTGACTGAGGGGCAGTAAAACCTGGATAAGCCTATATCTCCGTCCGTCGGGGGTAGTGCCCAGGTGTGCTCGTGAGGTCACGTGACGCCAATACTTGTCAACCTTACTGCAGCGACGTCGCTTTTTAACGATTAATAGTAAAGAATAATTATCTTTTCAGGTATTTTGACTCGCTTTTTTGACCGAAGCGCTGGCGATTGTCACTCTGCCGTGAGGATCGATTGGCCAGGCGTAATTGGGTACCCCAACACCACCCGCGCCTCTTGATTATACCTATGAACGCAATCGATATTTAAGTACGGCACAGCATACCGAACAAGTTTGAAGGTCGCCCCGTCGAGTTCCCCATTTATACACAAAAACTGACCAACGTCTCCCCTTGACAGCAGTTCCCAAGGGTTTTTGAAAGCACCACGCATCACATCATGGCTGAGGACTTCTTCTGTTGTATTTATGAGGCGAAAGTTGTCGCCGATCTCCGCCATCCGCACACAAGGAACGATGCAAGATTGACCGTTGCAGAACGGCAGCGGTTATTAACTGCCTTCTACCATTCATGGGACCTCCTCCGCAACTTGCAAGTATCTGGAGAGAATGCAAGATCTGCGCTTCCAGCTCTTTCACCACGGGCCCTGTTTCTGGCTTTCGAAACAGTGGGCTTCATGCACGATCATGTGGAAGAGCCTTATATGCGCCACATTTCACGACTACTCGGAGGCGATAGAGATGTCTTCGAGAAACTTGGAATTGCTGCGGTGCTGCGCCTCTGCCTCCTGTTCAATGAGCGGTTGGGACAACTAGCAGAAGACGAAACATCAGTTTACCGCGGTTACTGTCTTCCTCCCAAAACACCTTTGGGGCTCTTCGCAGCCTTTGATCACTGGCAGGAAATCTGCGAAGAGCTGTTTGGAGAATTTTGAAGAAATTGATTGAGTAGGTCTGCCCACCCAAGTCTGTCGCAGCACTAACAGGTTAAGATCAAATCAGTGTTGCGGTGGCCCTGGCGCGTTCTTGCACAACTCATCGAAAGTACACCAGACGGCTTCAACATTATCGTTGTCTTCTCCTCTGAGCCTGAGGTCAGTCCTGTTGGTCATCGCAAACAGAAATAAGCCGTAGTTGCAGTCAGAGTCCGCATAGAAGGCACAACACCCTCCAACGACAGCTGCAGCTGTCAAGGTGTTCCCAACAGTTGGTACGGACATGCATGTCTCATACAGGAGGCGATTCTCGCGCCGAACCTGGTCAGGGTATGTTACTCCGAGAGGCAACAGCTCAATTTCCGCCTCGAAGAGCCCTGGCGCGTCATTACGCCCCCAGAGCTCGATGTGACGATCATCGAATTCGGGTGGGGGGATCTTGGGGTCATAGTACGGTGCGGTTGGGTCGAATTTTATCGAGACGTTCCAATACTCGTCGACCGGATAAAGAATCTCCACAATACCGCCATCGTCTCGTTTTGAGGGCTTACCCGCCTGTTGAGCGATTACAGCTGGGGTCGCTGCTAGACAATCCAGGAAGCGCTGATCCTTCAGAATCTTCCCTACTGTACCGGAACTCCGCGCAGATTTGATGGCCTCCGCACTTGCTTTGCCCGTTTTTCCTGATCGGACAGAAGTATAGACTCTGCTTGCGCCACCAGAAATTCTTGTGATCGGGCTAAGGACCCTGCCCGCGGCATTAAGTAGACCCAAAAATGGAAAACCCCCTGCCAGTGAGGAATCTCCGCCGATAATTACTACGATTGGTTTTGTTTGCTTGTGAGTTACTGTGATCTTGTAGTCGGATATGTGAATGGGTATGTTATATTTGAGCTCTCCGTCTTCTGGCCAAAGCTCCAACATGCCCGCCATATCATTGCCAGGCATAGCTTCGATCTCAGCCAAATCCCACGCTTGGAGGCCTGCTAATAGAGTGAAGCAGAGGCCCATGCGTGTGCGACGGCTGTTGGTTCGTCGTTCCTCCTTACGAGCCTCCTTCGTTTTTTCCTTCTGCTTTCTTGCGCTCTCCACCCGTTGATTGTATCTTTCTCGCAGTTGTTGTTTTGCATGGCGTGTTTGATCGACAGCTATGTTTGATATTTCCGTCGGAGTCAATCTCTTTGTGGTGATATTTGTCATTCTTCTTGCAGCGGAAGGCAGGGTCGTTATCCCTCCCACATACACGGTTGATAGGCATCTGCGTCTTTGGGCTCAACCTTATTGTTCGGTGTTCGTGTTACTGCCGTCTGTCCCTTCTGCTTACACTTCTTGTCGTCGTCGTATGTGCAAATGGGATTTTCCGTATTCTCTTCCTGCCCCCCTTGCGCAGGATCCAAGATAAAGTCTTTGTCTTTACATTTACCTTGCTTTCCATCGTCGTTATCTTCCGGGCTGCCAGGAATGCACTTGGTGTTTTGCTTATTTGGCTTAAAGCCTTTCTCGCAATCTTCGCACTTTCCAAGTATATTCGGGACCTGATTTCCCTTACAATCCTGGTTTTCGAATCCCGGCTTTTTGCACAGCAGGCTGCGCTTCTTTCTGGCCTGCGAATTTGCGTCATGCCAGCCCTTAATTTGCTCTTCAATCCTCAGAAGCTTTGTTCGAATGGAGTCTCTGCCATACCCAAATACAGAGATATCCCTCAACTCGAACAAGCCGAGTTCTTCCTCAGAGCTTGACTCCGTCAGGGGACCTTCCGTCCTAGATCCGAAGCCTCCAATTTGGCCGTCCCAAACTAATCTATCCATTACTGCGAGGACATCTTTTCCGTTTTCTAATTCCTTTACCCACGTTTCGACGGCCAATTCTTTCCTTTCGACATCAGTGTCTTTGGCGGGCCAGTCTGTGTTGATGTCCACATCATCGTTTGCCCTCATTTCGAGTGCTCTTCGAACCTGGTTTTGCGGGGTACAACTTGTTGAAATGCCCGGATAGGTCGTCACCTGAGAACTATGTGTCAGAATCCATAAATAGTTTTCTCTGGGTGCTCAATTATGCTAGCATCGAAAGCCAGCGATCTACGCTTGTCTGTTAAATCAGCGTATGAGGATTTTACGTACTCGGTGATTATTTTGCTTATGCCATTTGAATGTTGCTGAACCTGCATTCTCGATTCCCTTCTTTTTTGCCAAGTCGTCAACGATGTCCAGGAGACTCCGCTTATCTTTCCTCCTTTTCTTGCATTTTCTTTTCCGAGCGGACTCATCTTGATCATGGTCAGTCCCGTAAAGCTCGTACAACTTATTCCAGCTTGTTCTTGGCATGATGAAGAGAAGCTGCTTTGGTCCGCTCTCACGGTTACCACTGTCCATGCGGGTCGCCAGCTTTACGTAAGACATGAGCAGGGAGAAAAAGCCGAGAGTTGCGTCGTCAAGTGTGCTATCATCAGTGTAATGCTCCTCTAAATCTTCCTCTGTAACTTGCACTAGCCGTCTTGTTTTCGTACGTGAAGCAGGCAGAACCACATTATCCTCGCCATCTGCCACCGTGTTGATTAGACCATAGATAGCTGCCATGGGAAGTGCTGTTGTCACTTGAAGACCTGGCTGAAAGGCTTCCCACATGAATTCATCTGGACCTTCCAGCGTCCAGATCCCATACGTCGTGCTGTCCACGTCGGCAATCGAAAATTGGTCGCCGGTATGGGGTTTCAACTGCTCCTATATATCTCATCAGCACTTTAGCTGCCAAGGGTTAGCATTGAAACTAACAATTGCATCTGCCATCTGGTCCCAAATGTCAGGCAGAACATAATCCGTCTTGCCCTGTTTTAACTTGACCACTGTTCCGTCAATGATCCATTCGAAGGTAAGATCACTGATGCCCGTTTCGGGTTCTCCGCCTCCATGTTCAGCAGTTAGGGCCCAGGTGGAATCGCATGTCCGAGGACGATTCATGCCATGGGGAATGACTACGGCGCCTTTCACGGCGGCTATCATATCCTCGCCAGCCTGAGGGTCCAGTCAGTTGCGTTGCCCTTTCAACCATGCGTACATGGACGCAAACATATCCATTGTTCTGGGAGACAACTCTCCAGGCACAGAATGTACGACTTTAACCAAGGACAGGTAGCGTACAGGGGTCAGAGGGGTTGTCGCCCCTAACCGTTATCAATAAAGATGGGATGACGCAGTGTGACTGACCTTTTTCGCGTTTTCATTGTGGTTGCAAAGTTTAAAGCTGCGATTCTCTATCTCTACCCCTATGCCAGGCCAGTCTTCAGGAGGTCCCGGTGGGTTGAGTACCACCACCCGACCCTGAGCTATGTGGGGAGTGACGACAACAAACTAAACTAAAACGCGCTGGAACAACCACATGGGGATGAATGCAGTTTAAATTTAAGCAGAATGTTGGAACAGAAAAATAATCAATATATAAAGCTAGGCTGCGCAAGTTCTTGAAGTGACCGTCGAAAAGGGGTGTGTATCGGTATTTGAACGGCATTGAAACCTTGGACAGATTGCTATGGAGAGCCAGCTTTTTCGACACATTTACACCATTGTTTCAGCATGTTCAAGATGTAAGATCTTAGAATCTACGTCGGTTGGCGGCGAGCCTTCCTTGAAATCCCCTAACTATTTTGGAGCGTGGCAATCGGGTTATGAGGCATTTGAGGAACACCCAAATTTTGATCGAACACTGTAGACTCAGAAGCTATTGCACATTCACTCCAGTAGTAAGTAAAGATATGCAAGATATCGTCTCCTGGTAGATAGTGCTTTCTTCGTACGAGAATGCGGCGTAGCTATGTGATGGAGCCCGGGGATCGGAGGCGGTCCAATTGCTCCCCGTCCAAAGTCCAATAGTAAGATGCAAACATCGGGAACCCGGTTTTGACTTCACACATGTATCAATGTTTCAATCAGTCTTCGCCTCCTCTAAGCCCACAATGAAATGCTTAAACCTGCCCCTCGGCGCTTCAGGAACCTCAGGGTTCGAACATTGGGCAAATCTATGGGGAGGCAACGCAACAACGCGTCAACATGTCACGCGCGTAGATGATGGCTATGCTTGATTATCCGACGGCAAAGCAGCAACAGAGTGAGACTATCATCTTGAAAGCGAGCACGGGTGTGAGGCTGTAAACACCTGAAGTGCGGCACAGGCGGCGAGAGTCAAATCAGATTACGTGGCGTCAAATCGCAGTCAACTACCAGGCAATGAAAAGCCGATGCCCCAAAAGATCTAGAAAGTGGGGTATCTCATTCTTAGTCTTGTCGACACACTTCGAATTACTTAACAACGGCGGGTATCGTTGATAGACCCTCAGATTGCCAGGCTACGTTTACAGAACCGCCTTTGACCAGGGACCATGCGAGCCAAGACTGGCGCAATTCTTGCAGCTCTCACCACCGAAGTTTTTTCCTTCAATATCTCAACGTACACTTCGCGAAGATGCACCGGGGCACCTGCAGAAATCTAACTCAATATTGCTGATGGCTGCAACACATTCCGAGCCGGCGAAGCTCAAGCAATAATCTTGCATTGGCTGAGTGACCTGGACGATGACCAATTGCTCGCAACCTACTCAACCGAATATTGCTGTCATGCGGATTTGATTGAAACATATGGATGGAACGAAGACTGCACTCCATTCACGATGGAGGGGGTAAAGAGTTGGAGGGTGATCGATCCAGAGGAGCCGGATAAAGGTATCCAAGAAGAGTTGGAAGGCTACGCGTGCGAGAATTGCGGAGAAGATGGCTGTGGGGAGATAGAGGGCTGGATCTAAGATTGTGTGTTGTTGCTAAAGAGTCATGTTATCCGTTGTCGCCTTCCCAGCTTTGAGTTGTTGTAACATAGTCCGGCTTCCCCCAACTCTATTTAGACATTGCCATAAGTTCTAACTGATGTTGTATACATTTCGATATATGTCGGATTAAACTCTGAAGTACCTTGACATCAGAGAGTCTGACTTGACTGATATAGTAGGAAGATTTGAATGCATCGCTTTGATTGAACTAAAAAGAACATCGGCAGCCAACTAGGTGGTTCTTCCAAAAAAAGATGGGGGAGTGGGGGGAAGAAAACTTTGTGTAAACCTTTTGACCTCTGTAGGCCCAGTTAATGAAACTCCTAAGCACCGCGATCGTTGTTGCAAGTGCAATGGGCAAGGCCGCCGTTGCCACCAAGTGCCTTAGAAGTTGGTTTCCTCTGAAAGCAAGCAGGTAGCTAGGCAAGGCAGTAGCTAGCGGTCCCTTACCCATTCAACGGGCCCGACTCTCCGTAGCTCAATCCATTACTTCATTTCCCGCTCGTTTGTGTTGCATCAATTGTATCTTGTCGTAATATTAATAAATTAGAGGATAGGAACTTGTCACCTTTTATTCGTATCCTTCTCTCCCTCGCGTTCTTATTTCTTCGGTGAAGGAGAGGCTACACTCGCCAAGGAGATACCACATTCAACTGCCACTCTGCAGATGGCTGACGCGGCGGAACAGGATGCCACGCTCCATTATGATTTAGAAGAGGAGGGACGGTACTTCGGCAACGATGCCACAGAATATCTCTCGTTTCTCGGCCCTTGGGAAGAATCTGCCGGGCAACCTCATCCTACATACTCAGAGCACGATGTCGATACGTTCGATGCTGAACCGACTTCCCTTCCCCCGATGACTAATAGGGATACTGGCCACCCTCCAGACAGACACGTCCCCGAATGGCATACTAGCGACGAATCTTTCCTCCCGGCACTTAGGCAGGAACCCGCTCCCCCCGAGCCTACATTTGTGCCACGTCCGGCCAGTCAGAACATAAACACTCTCCTTACACTATCCCGAGTATCTCATCCTACCGCCGGTGACCTCCTTCGCAACGATAGCAGAAAGGTCGATCGAAAGCGGCAGATCCCATGGGGTCTCCAACGGATCCTCACCCATATGGAAGTCGAGGATCTAGCTGCTCTCTCCCAAGTGCCAGTGCCCTTCCCGACAGACGAAGAAGTCGCGCAATACTTCCGCTCGCAGAAGGAAAAACCCATGCATCCTTTTATCTCCCATTCGACGCCAGCGAATGTGGACATCTGTCTGCTTGGTAGGATTCGCATTACTGCCGCCGAGATCATGGCTTTCTTTCCGAACCACATCGAGTGGAACGATGCCATCTTCAGACTGGTACAGAACAGCTGGACTCGCAGGGAGATTGCAGGCTACATCAACTATGTGCGCCAGTTGCCCTCATCCGCAGCCGTGACAAGAGAGCGTATCAGCCATTGGGCTAGGATGGCAGACAGACAAATCATGGTAGGGAGCCCGATAAATGCGCACCGACGCCCGGGCTTCAAGACCGTCTTCTTCACTCCAGAGAAGTGGGAGTTGCCAAAGTTGTCTAGGCTTGAGGCTGATCCGATCGACTATTTCCTGGTGGATCTTGCGGAAGGCGTTGTCAACTGGCCTACCGGAAGTGGAGCCCGACTCTTGACACGTGCTATTCGGTTGGCGCAGCAGCAAGGGCATCGGTATGTCAAGCTAAGCCAGATCCACGAGTTCATGCGTGTGCACAAGGTCCATTTGCCGTTGCTGCGACCTATGGCAATTAGGGGCAAGTGCGGCGGCGTGAATCCGGATGTACTGGTGAAGCGCGGACTCGAACTCGTCATTTATCAGGATATAGTGCAGGTAGGGTTAGCTTGGTGAAGCGTGGGAATCTCCACCAGATACTCATATAGGGGTTATCGTGATCCAGTTGTGCTGCTGGTTGAGGCGTGTATCTGCGATGCGTTGGTATTGCGGACAACTGAAGCTCTGGCAGGGCGCCTGTTGGGCAGCGTACATATCCTGACACGTCAGACGCTGAATGCACGCTGCTGGTGTACAGTTGCGGTTGGTATCGACAGTCCCGACAGATGTGTTCCGCAAAAGGCGCACAAGACTGGACGCTAGGGAGAGCTGTTAATTGCTGATGTTAGCACAACGAAAAAGCAGAGAGTATCTGACTTTAACTGGCTCTGAAAACATGAAATCAAGCGACCTTTTATCTGATGGTTTGTCCCTTACATGTTTGCGGTGCTGTTGATTCTTCACCAATCACATCGTGGCCTCAATGGCGGTCCGCAAACCATACCCAATGGTTGAGCGCAGCCCTCGCCACGTCACTACTACAACTGGTGCCCTGATAATGCGGCTATGACAACCCATCGGGCATCATTGAACTGTTTTTCCCTATGTGCTTGCTTGAGGATGGATGAGTGCCGCTATATAGTCGTCTGATGTTTATGTCGTCCTTCATGATGGTTAAATACTTCATCTTCCTTTATGGAGAGAGTGTTTCCTACCAAGAATTCATTCACTTCAACGTCTGGCCACTTTTTCCTTGAAAGGAATGACATTGGGCCGAGAAACGGTGGACTGTGAGACCAGAATAAGTATTATTGCGGAGCTGGAAGGCTTACAGTCGGAAAGCGTTGAATAAGACCGACGAATTCGAAAATCTCAAAATCCTGCAAATTACCGACGTCGTGGATCATCCGAACCAATCCGAGCCGATTGCAAGGACTGCAAAGCAGTCCCGGGTTGTGATCGATCAAAGTAGGGGTAGCTCCTCCAGAACGGGATCTGTACGGCAGCGAACTCGCTCGGACCGAAATCAATCAGATCAAGATGATGATGAACGGGAAGGAAGGAAGAAGAGGAAAGTCGGAGTCGACAAACGACTGAAATGTCCATTTTACCTCTGGAGACCTGACAAGCATAAGAGAGGGTCGTGCAGGGGCGAGGGCTTCGCTGACATGGGCAAACTGAAGTGAGGAAGAAGCCCACCAACCCTTCCTTGGAGAGGGGTGTGACTGACGCGAACGTAAGGGACCACCTGAAGCGAGTGCACCAGAAGCCTCGACAGTGTCCACGATGCTGGAAAGAAGTGGCAACAGAAGACGCGCATGAGAAGCTTGACCCTCCTTGCCCGATATTACCAGAACCTGAAGATGACAGGGTTAGCGCTGCGACTCTGCGAGAACTGAATTTCAGTCGCGTGCCGTATGCCAATAGGACCGTGGAGGATAAGTGGAGGCGGCTCTATAGTGATCTCTTTCCCGATGAGACAGAAATCCCCTCACCATGTAAGACTTCCGCTTTATACCTGAAGTTTTCGAATCTAACCGTAGTAGATGATGAATATGGGTTGGGCCCCAACTTCGATCGGAAGCTCGCTCAAAGGCTGGAAGAAGAATTTAGGCACGAGTTTACAGAGTTGGTGGAGCGGATAGGGAGGGAAAGGCTCCGTGAACGATTGCTCCAGATCATACGTGATTGTAGAAACTCGGGAGGTGAGGGTGCGTTCGAAGCATCACCGGCATCACGCCCTGAATCAGTGGCTAGTAGCGAAGCGGAAGCAGAAGAATCGCCTATGATCGGAGCTGATGGGGTACCCAAGGGGAATATTGAGCCGTGAGAAGCGGTGATTCCCACAAAGGGAGAGACTCGGACGTCCGTAAGAGTCGGCTTCTCTGGGTTGGAGTAGACCGGAATTTGGCGGGTACATGATTGATTTCTATTTCCCAACGGGTGCATGACAAAAAGCACACCGCTCCTCCAATTCCACTGGGGGTTGGCTCAACCTGCGTAAATGCGGTTACATCTTGCTCCGAGTAGCATCGCTGGCGAACAACCTGTCTGACTGGCCCAGAAGCTGTGCTATTCGTTCTTTTCGAGCGTCATCGGATCGCGTCCGGCCGTTTGCATATGGCGTCCAAGGTGCGTCTTCTCCATCTTTTAGAAACATGTTCATACCAGAGGACATACAGTTGGCGGCCTTGACGGTTTCAACACTCGTAGTACTACTGCAAGTGAGCTGAGGAACCAACGCCATTCACACGCCGGGCCATGACTCACCTTAGCTTCTCCTTGGCTTGATGGCCACCCATGTGGGATAACTGTGGTCAACGACTCAGCGTTGTTCATGCGCCTCTGGTAAAGATCTCGCCGGTCGGCTAGCAGAAGCTCAAGGTAAACGTTCAAGCCAATTTTTTTTTCTTTAACACTCAGCTGAGGTGCGGAAGTGTCAGCCAGAACCGTCTCGGAAGGACTTTATATACGCTTCTACGCCGTTGCTCCCTCCCTTTCATCGCGTTCTTGATGTTGAGATTCAGTCGAATAGCTGACGTACACAACTGGAGCTACGAGGGTGCTGCACAAATGTGTGCCTGAGAGGAAGAACATGGGTTAGTTGAGCATCTCTGGAGTGACGCAGCCCATTGGCGGATGGATACGAGGCGTCGGCAGGTGGCAAGTCCATAATCGCATGCCACGTCGTAGCCACATCGCACAACTGAGGTTTGCCTAGATGCCAGAGTGGAATATGCCTTCTACTTCATGGAGCCTTTTGCCACTTAGACGTCGCCGCCGTGGCAATTCTGAAAGATTGCTCGCATCACAGTATGATGACCCATGGGAGCGGGTCAGATGCCTGCACAACTGTCTGGTCAAGGGAGCCTCGGTCTTACATGGCAGCTCTGCTCTTGCATATCGGCTCGAACTGTGACCACCGCGTTATACTCGTCCATGGAGCTCCTGGTATCTTTTGCCGTGGTTATACAGCTGGTTGCATCCCCATCCTCGACTTTAGTACAGAAATCTTCCGAGTGTGTTGTTCAACACATCTGCGATGGGTACAGCTGACTCTGCCGTTGACACGTCAGTTGAAGGCAGTAAGGCTCACACGTGTTGCGACTGGTATGTTTCAGTTCTTGAGCAAAGTACCTTGTTCTGTGCCACCGTCACTCCTCGAGGCCTTCGTCCTTTGACTTTTTACAACCATGCACTGCCCTCTGCATAGTGTGTTGTTTTCGAATATGTGCTGCGGTTTGCGCATCTGTGTTATTTTCTGGCACATTCAAAAAATCCGGTCTGCCAGTTTCAGGCCTATATCGAGGCCGTGAGACCGCGCGTGGAGACACATCTTCAGAGATCGCTGAGCAATTCCCTACGCTAACACCGACCCGCCCAACTCATCCGGAACTCATGTGAGTCACGAGCCCTATCGGTATACCATCGGGCTGAAAACACATATTAGGGAATTCTCACATCGTGACGCAACCGAGGCTTCGAGGGACCCTCCACCCAAACTCAAATGCCCTTTCTATCAGCGAAATCCTCGGGCTCACCCGAAAGCGTCGTGCAAGAACACTTGCTATTCCGACATGTTTCGGTTGGTGTATGCATATGTTTCAGAATGCCACATGGTTGATTTTGCTCTGTTCCTTCTGACCTGTGATGGCAGACAGCATCTCAAACGCGTCCATGCCCAAGCTCCCGGATGCGAATGCTGCCCCAGAGCACTCAAGAAAGCACCTTGCCAGCGCATGGACGCCAAAATCAAGAGCATTAAGCTCAATGACCCTCGCTTTCAGAACCAGACTCGTGAGAAAAAATGGGATTTAGTATTCGAGATCTTGTTTCCCGGGATACCCGTTCCGTTGCCGTGTAAGTCGTCAGACTGGTTGTCTACCAGAGTTACTAACGTCAGCAAACAGCTGAGCAGGAGGGTTTGACACATGAGGAGGAAAGCATCTTCCTGCAGCTCTTTGTCAAGCGCCTCCGAAAGCACCTTGGCCCAGCAGCTGCAATAACGCTTGATGATGTCGAAGAGTTATACTACGACTGTAAACGGAAAGCGCGGAGCTCGGTCGAACAGACTAATCAAGAAGAGGATGACTCCATGGATGAGGCTGACCCTTCCATGGACACTCTTAATTTGCGCGACGCAGGTCGGTCGGCTCGCGCTGTGGATGACCCTAATCGTTCATCCCGAAGCAAAAGATTGGCACATACCGGATACGACGAGGAAGAGCGAACGTCTCGGTCTCGTGAAAAGAGTTATTCCACTTCCAGCATCGGTGGAAATCCAATTCCGTCTCGTACAGCGCAAGGTTCCAGTATGCAGACGAGCCAGACATTCTCTCAGCAAAATTGGACACCTGGTTATTCCCCTTTCGCGCATCCCGAAGAACAAATGCACTATCAACAGCAAGGCTACCTTCAACAGGTCAATGCTGTATATCAACAGAACACCCGTCCCACGCCTTCTTCCACCAACCCACGGTCAACCCCTTACGGATACCCTCAGCAGCAAGGAAATCCGGACACGTACGGAAACCAATACCAACAGTATAATTGGCACCCTGCAAGTGGCATGTGATGAAGATATGCAGTTCGAGATGAGTGTACCATGGAAGTGTGTTTCCTCTCGTCCATGTTGTCCCGGGAGCATATCTCTTTTCATCACCTTCTCGGTCTATGAGAACCTCGCATACATTTTCTTTCGGGCTAGCAACTTCCATAGATATGTAGAAAGGCCCTCACGGGTTTGATGGTTTGGTTCCATTTCCAGGGTCAGGGTCGTTCCGCATTCCCTCTATTTCTGGCTGTCTGTCGCAAGTGTTTCCGATGTTAGGCACCTGTGTAGCTTCTGCAATCATCTAGAGGCCTTATTTAAGTACGATTTGTCATGAGGCAGTTGCTCAATAGACGCAATTCAAGTGGCAGTATACTCCGGAGAGGAATTATTTCATCCGTCATGGTTTGGTGATGGAACGTTGACTCTCGTGGGTGTCGGATCTGCTTATCCGATCTTGGCAGGGCTTATCAATGTGGCTGGAATGTGGCGTCCGAGGTGGCGGGGCTCCTCAAACACCAGCCCACCATTCCTCCCAATCCAGTGCAGAGTCACCAAAGTCGCACGGGCACGACACGACGACCAGCACCATTTCCCTCCTGAAACCTCTCTCGCGTCGATCGCTTACAAGCAAAGTACACTTAATTCTCAGTTCCACTTGCTAACATGGCGGACACCGCCACATCAACCTCAACCCCGACGTCTGAAGATAAGGGTCCGTCGAAGCGTGCGCTGGAAAAAGCAGCAAAGAAGGCGGCCGCGAAGGCAAAGAAGGCTGAACTTGCTCTCCGACCGAAAGAGAAGTCAGCCAAAGCCCCGAAACAGGCAGCTGGAGAGCCGGCAAAGCCTGCAGGCAGCATTTTCGGCGAGGGTTGGCTCAAGCGTGTATACGAGGAGAAGCCGGTTAAGGACGTCCGCACACGTTTTCCACCGGAACCCAATGGCTATTTACATATCGGCCACTGCAAGGCAATTGCAGTAAACTTTGGATTTGCTAAGTATCACAAGGGAATCTGCTTCCTGCGATATGACGATACGAATCCGGAGAAGGAGGAGGAGAAGTATTTCACGAGCATTCTGGACATTATCAGGTGGTTGGGTTTCGAGCCGTATCAGATCACGCACAGCAGCGACAGCTTCGACCGGTTATATGATCTGGCTGAGGAATTGATACGGAGGGACGGTGCCTATGTGTGCCATTGCTCAAGTAAGGCTCTCTAGTGCGATAATACAGTCACCTGCTAACTACATTTTCAAGGAGAGGAAGTGAACCGCCAACGTGGAGGCCCAGACAACCGCGGACCGCGATATGCCTGCGAACACCGGACTCGCCCTATCGAAGAGTCATTAACCGAGTTCCGTGCAATGCGCGATGGAAAGTACAAGCCAGGGGAGGCATATCTTCGTATGAAGCAGAGCCTCACGGATCCTAACGAAGGGAACCCGCAGATGTGGGATCTGCCAGCATACCGTGTCGTGGAGAAGAATTACCATCACAGGACCGGAGACCGGTGGAAGATCTATCCGACATATGATTTCACTCATTGTCTATGCGACGCCTTCGAGGGAATCACACACTCGATGTGCACAACCGAATTCCAGCAATCAAGAGTATCTTACGATTGGCTGTTGGAGAAGCTGGACTTCAAGATTCCCAAGTCCGAGGATAAGGGACCGATGCAAAGAGAGTAAAGCAATAAGTCCCCCTTGCTCTATCGATTCAATCCTAACTTGAACTAGATACGGGCGTCTCAATGTTGGTGGCACTATCCTTTCCAAGCGTCGAATTCTCATGCTGGTCCACGGCACGACTGTCGAAAAGAAGAACGCGGATGATACCGTCGAGAAGAGGGTAATCCCACCAGCAGTGCGGGGATGGGACGATCCTCGTCTATACACCTTGGTTGCATTGCGCAGACGAGGAATCCCAGCTCAGGCGCTGCTTAAGTTTGTGGAGGAGCTGGGTGTCACCGAGGCGCTTACTGAAATCCAACCCCCCCGGTTAGAGTCATCTATCCGCAAACATCTCGAGCGGACTGTACCCCGCCAGATGCTTATCCTCGATCCGGTCAAAGTCGTCATTGAAGACGCCACTGCTGAGGACGAGCAAGAGCTTACCGTTCCTTACGACCCCAAGGGCGCCATTCCAGGAGAGCGCAAAGTCAAGGTGGGCAAGGAGGTTTACATTGACCGGAGCGACTTCCGAGAAGTAGACGAGCCCGAGTACCGCCGCCTTGCGCCTAACAAGGTTGTCGGCCTGTACAACGTACCTTTCCCCATTCGAGCAACGTCGTTCTCCAAGGACGAGAATGGCAAAGTCACGCAGGTCAGGGCGGTCAAGGCTGCTTGGACGACTGAGAAGACGAAGACCCACATCCAATGGGTGGACGTTGCCACTGGTATCCCAGTCACGGCCCGCCAGTACAACTCGCTATTCAAGAGTGACTCCCCGAATGCCCTAGACTGGAAGAACGGCGGCTGGGCTGACGACCTCAACCCAGACTCGGAAATAATCTTTCCCAATGCCGTCATTGAAAGAGGGCTGAAGGATCTCATCAAGGAGCGCTCACTCAACATCAGCGATTCATCGGACGCCTTGGTTCGTTTCCAAGCACTTCGCGTGGCGTACTTCTGCGTCGATGTCGATTCTACTGAGGATCGTATTGTCTTGAACCAGATCGTCAGTCTGAGGGAGGACAAGGGGAAGTAAGCTTAAGTGGGCTCTTGACAAGCGAGCGGATCGATTCCGGTGGTTCTTCCTACGACTTTAGATATCCCTGGTGTAGATTTCCATCTTCGTCTGTAATTTGTGGATATCCTACAGTAATATCTTTTCACCTGAGTGTGTTCATGTCTTATTGTTCTGGGAACAGTGTCTCCATTGCCTACTGGGTTAGAGTTGATACATGCGGCCATCTCCGCTTCCTGGGGCCGGGAAATCTCCGTGGAATCGCCGAGGAATCTCCGGAGTCGGACAAACTTTGTTCCATCGCCCTCCGCCAAACCCATGCAGTCGGAATCGTACTTCCATAGAGGCGTTGGAGATTATTTCCACCACACGGTTCTCGCCCTCAACGCCATCGTCACTTTGCGATGCCGCTCGTTGACAATCCTCAGATAAAGGCTGCGAGCCTGCACAATCCACTGCCGCTGCAGCTCCATGCCTATGTGTGGCCGTTTCTGATCATTTGGCCCGCCTTCCTCTCGGTCTACCTTTCCAAGGAGCGCTATGAAACGTACATACAATCTTACGAGTGGACCTACCTCTGGGTCGGCACTATTCTTACCATACAGACACTAATATGGTTGACGACGCACTGGAATGTAGATCTCCGCTCCGCCTTTACCTCGACTACCGCCCGCGACGTTCGTACCGCACAGCTCATCAAAGTCATTCCAGTGGCGAATGCAGGCACCGCCGAGATCTGTCCCCTGAAGCGCGATAATGTTGGAGGAAAGCAGAACATCTCCTTTCTTTTTCAGAAACGCCGTTTCCTGTACGATTTCGAGAAAGGCAGCTTCGCCACGCTCTCCTACGCCGTCGACGCCGAACCGAAACCGCAATTACACGTGTTCCAAAATGCAAAGGGGCTGACGACACCGGCTGAGATTGAGCGCCTACAACAACACTATGGCGATAATAGCTTCGATATCCCGGTCCCGACCTTTACGGAGTTGTTCAAGGAACATGCTGTGGCGCCGTTCTTCGTATTCCAGGTGTTCTGTGTGGGCCTTTGGATGCTAGACGACTACTGGTACTACTCGCTCTTTACTCTGTTCATGCTGGTCATGTTTGAGAGCACAGTCGTGTGGCAACGCCAGAGGACACTTAACGAGTTCCGCGGAATGAGCATCAAGCCTTACGATCTGTTGGTGTACAGGCAGAAGAAGTGGCAAGAAATTCAAAGCGACAAACTGCTTCCGGGCGATGTCGTAAGCGTTGGAAGAACGAAGGAAGATTCGGGAGTTGCATGCGATATGATTTTGATTGAAGGGACCGCAATCGTCAACGAAGCTATGCTTTCGGGAGAGAGTACACCCGTCCTCAAGGAGTCGATCCAGCTGCGGCCGGGTGATGCTCGTATCGAGCCGGAGGGTCTGGACAAGAATGCCTTTCTATGGGGAGGAACCAAGGTGCTCCAGGTGACCCACGGCACCGCTGCGGAGGATGGCTATAGCGCCGCGGCCAAACTCCCTTCTGGACTTCCACCACCTCCGGACAAGGGCGCAATCGCTGTCGTCATTAAGACCGGATTTGAAACCAGCCAAGGAAGTCTCGTCAGGACCATGATCTACTCTACCGAACGCGTATCTGCCAATAACGTGGAGGCGCTGCTATTCATTCTCTTCCTCTGTATTTTCGCCATCGCCGCGTCCTGGTATGTCTGGCAGGAGGGCGTCAAGCAAGACAGGAACCGGTACAAGCTTATGTTGGACTGTGTCTTGATTGTTACTAGCGTCGTTCCTCCGGAACTCCCCATGGAGCTGAGCTTGGCCGTCAATACCAGTCTTGCTGCGCTCAGCAAGCACGCCATTTTCTGTACCGAGCCATTCCGCATCCCGTACGCCGGCCGAGTCGATGTTGCCTGTTTCGATAAGACCGGTACTTTGACTGGCGAGGACCTGGTTGTTGACGGTATCGCCGGGCTTACTCTCGGCCAGCACGGTGTGAAACTTGGACCAGACGGGGCGCACGTCGACCTCTGCCCTGTCAACGAAGTGGGCACAGAAACTACCTTGGTTCTGGCTACTGCTCACGCACTTGTCAAATTGGATGAAGGGGAAATTGTTGGCGAGCCCATGGAGAAGGCGACGCTTGCCTCACTAGGATGGACGCTTGGAGCCCATGATACCTTGACGACGAAGAAAGGTTCGAGCAAGTCAAGAGCTGAGCTTGTGCAAATTCGCCGCCGCTTCCAGTTCTCTTCCGCCCTTAAGCGCCAGAGCTCTGTTGCTACTGTTATCGTCAACGACAAGGCCGCCAAGCGGAAGATCACCAGCACCTTCGTCGGCGTCAAGGGAGCACCAGAAACCATCCAGAAGATGTTGGTCAAGGTACCGGAAAGCTATGAGGAGACGTTCAAGCACTATACACGGAACGGCGGTCGTGTGCTCGCTCTAGCGTATAAGTTTCTGCTCGAGGATGGTCAGCTCGGCATGAACCGCATCAACGATCTCAAACGAGAGCAGGTTGAAAGCGATCTGCACTTTGCTGGGTTCCTCGTCTTGCAATGTCCGCTAAAGGATGATGCTGTTCAGGCTGTCCGCATGTTGAATGAGTCCAGTCACCGGGTCATTATGATTACTGGAGACAATCCTCTCACTGCTGTGCATGTGGCCCGGCAAGTGGAAATCGTCGATAGAGAGTGCCTCATTCTGGATGCTCCGGAGCATGATGACTCTGGTGAGAAGCTCGTCTGGCGCAGCGTGGATGATAAAGTCAGCATTCCTGTTGACCCTACCCAGCCCTTGGATCGTGAGATTCTCGAGTCAAAGGACATCTGCGTCACTGGTTATGCCTGCAACAAGTTCAAGGATCAAGTCGGCTGGAAGCAGCTCCTGCGTCATACCTGGGTCTACGCGCGGGTATCTCCAAAGCAGAAAGAGGATATCCTTCTCGGTCTCAAGGACTGTGGATACACCACTCTCATGTGTGGAGACGGTACAAATGACGTTGGCGCACTCAAACAGGCCCACGTCGGTGTGGCTCTTCTTAACGGCACGCGCGAGGATCTGGATAGAATCGCCGAACATTTCCGTAATACCAAGATGAAGGAAGTGTATGAGAAACAGGTCCAACTCATGAAGCGGTTCAATCAGCCTCAGCCGCCTGTTCCGGTCATGATCGCGCATCTCTACCCTCCCGGCCCCAGCAATCCTCACTACGAGAAGGCGATGCAACAGCAAGCGGAGAAGAAAGGAATTGCGCCCCCTGCAGCCAACGGCATGCAGGTCGCTACTGCCAACGGAACTGCAAGCCAACCGAAGAACGCACAGCAAGCCGCCGCTGGCCTTGCAGACTCGCTTACACAGAAGATGATGGAGTCTGAGTTGTCGGAACTTGACAATGAGCCGCCGACTATCAAACTTGGTGATGCTTCCGTGGCAGCTCCGTTCACCTCCAAGTTGGCCAACGTCATCGCGATTCCGAACATCATTAGACAGGGTCGGTGCACATTGGTTGCCACCATTCAGATGTACAAGATATTGGCGTTGAACTGTTTGATCTCTGCATACAGTCTTTCCGTCCTTTATCTCGATGGTATCAAGTTTGGGGACGGACAGGTCACTATCTCTGGTATGATGATGAGTGTCTGTTTCCTGTCCATTTCTCGCGCAAAGGTGTGTATTTGATCTCTCATAATGCTATAGCATCGGCTAATGTCACGCAGTCTGTCGAAGCCCTCTCCAAAGAACGTCCACAGCATAACATCTTCAACTTCTACATCATCGGCTCCGTTCTTGGCCAATTCGCCATCCACATCGCCACGCTCATCTACGTCTCTCAGTATGTTCAACGCACCGACCCTGTCATACGCCATAAGGTCGACCTTGAGAAGGAGTTCGAGCCCTCCCTGCTCAACTCAGCCATCTATCTCCTCCAACTCATCCAGCAAATCTCCACCTTTGCGATCAACTACCAAGGCCGTCCCTTCCGTGAAAGCATACGCGAAAACAGAGGCATGTACTGGGGTCTCGTCCTCGTCTCCGGCGTCGCCTTCTCCTGCGCAACCGAGTTCATCCCGGAAATCAACGAGAAGTTGAAGCTCGTTCCGTTCACCAGCGAGTTCAAGTTGATGCTTACTAGTATGATGGTGTTGGATTATGCCGGATGCTGGATCGTGGAGAAGACGCTCAAGTGGGCGTTTGCGGATAACAAGCCCAAGGATATCGCGCTCAGGAGACCGGATCAGTTGAAGAGGGAGGAGGAACGGAAGAAGGAGGAGGAGAGAGAGGCGCAGAGGAAGAGGAACGAGGAGGAGGAGAAGAAGTTTGTGCAGATTAAGGCGTAGGGTGTGTTTTTTGTATATGAATGGGATTATGCAGATTTCTGATTGTGTGGTTATAGATTTAGGATGTTTGTTTACTTCGAAGGTGTCTGAAATAGATGCATTCGTTACTTTCTCTGTTCGACGTGGAAAATGAAGGGGGCTCTGCTCGATGTTGTGGCATTCTTGAAAGTGTATTGGATGATATACACCGCGGTCTTTGCGCCGAGGGCATTAAGCAGATTCCACGTTGAGCGCTTATTTTCGATATGAAGTGATATCTACCATGAGACGTATTGCCTTTACCTCGCCTCATGTTCTACTTCTGAAGGAGGCACCATTGTAAGCTGTGAAAGCTCTACTTCTCTGATCCTGCATTGCTTAACCGGATCAGACAAGGCGTCTTTTATTGAAGCAGTGTCAACGCCGCAGTTAGCTGCGTTGATTGGAACACAAAGATACAGGGAAGTAGTGATATGAGAGTTTACTGTCAGTTCTGCAATGAAGTATCGCCGAACGAGCCATCAAGTTCAAATTGCCACCTATCGCATACGTTCCTCAATCCTTCCGCCAACGCCCTCAATAATAGCTCGACAATCATCACAAACATCAGAAGCCCTATACCACTTCGGCTTCCCGACAACCGCATTACTCCACCTCACACCGCGCGCCCCAATCTCCTTCATATAACTCACGATATTGGCCTCCGCATGCGGCGCCCCCTCTCCCAGAGCCTTCATCTCCTTCGCATATTGAGGAGCCACATTGATCCCCCATTCCTTCAGCTTCGCCAACTGCTTTGCATTGAAGCCCGCCTCGAAACCGGAGTTGATACCGGCGACCAAGATCTGCTGGCCTTTCTTGCCCAGTGCTGAGGTTTTCCTTAGAGTCACCAGAGCGATTTCTATGGTTACTCCCTTTAGTTGCCCGAGCTTTTTGATCTCGTTGGCCATTGTGGTGAGACCGCGTTGTTCATCCGCGAGGAGAGTCGCGACCTCTGAGTTCATGTTGGGCGTCCGAAGGGGCCCAGTAGGGGTCTGGGGTTTTGGTGAACCGCGCGGTTTCGGTGTCTTTTGCGGTGGTTTGGATGGCGCTGGTTTACTCGGAGGTTCGGCTGGTTCAGCACGCGGAGGAGGTTTCTCCACAGGGTTGCTCGCGGGCTCGGACGGTTTGGAGGTAGTAGTAGTAGATTGCTTCGGGGGATCTGGGTCCCGCATGATGGCGTGGCTAAGGTTCCCAAAGCCAGCGGTGAAATTCCCAGCGCCTTGGACAAGCACGCCAGCGGACGCAACGTTGATGGGTATGCCTATCACCGCGCCTGCACCTGTGGCATCGAGTCCGAACCCCAGCACTTCGCCACCACCTCCGACGATCATTTGGAATCCTCCGGCTACCATTTCGGCTGCACCGTATCCCGCTTCGAAAAGTCGAGAAGGCTTGTTGAGTACCCCCGTTCCCTGTCCAACTGGGGAAATGAGAAACCCGCCTGGAATGAACGAAGATCCCGCTCCCATGGCAATGCCGCTCATGTATTGAAATGGTCCGGAGTCGCGAATCGTTTCCCAAATGCCCGGTTCATCGGCTCTGCCATCAGGGTCATGATAACGCACGGGATTGTTCCGGACGTAGGTGTACAAGTTTGTTGTTTCCCACACAGGATCGGAGCTCGTCCATCTTCCCAGCCACGGTGCGTAGTACCGCGCGCCGTGGTAATACAGTCCATTCTCTTCATCTCGCTCCTTGCCAGTGTAACCATACCGCTTTGGAGTCTCAGTCTTGCTGCGCACCGCCTGATACGACGTCCCGCCGAACGGATAATACTCTTCATACGAAATAATCTGGCCCTGGCCGTCCAGCTCCAAGCCCGCCGTGCCCAGGTGGTTGGAGAGTTGGTACCGAGTGAGCTGCTGCGGTACACGGGGTTCATCGCCTTGTGTGCGTGTCTCCACCAGGGCAATGCGCTGCTTGTCGTCCATGATGTGCAGTGTCTCGCGCTCCAGGGCGATTGTGCTTCCGTCGCCGCCGTATTTGCGATAAACCTCAAATCCCCCGACGTAGATGCGTTCCTTCAGGCGGGTGGCCGTTTGGCCGGCGGCGCCTTGCCGTTCGGTGACCTTACGCACACGCTGGCCGCTCGCGTCGTACACATACCACGTCGTTTCTGGCACGCCGCAGTTATCCTTGCCCTTGACAGATTGGCGGGCGGTTGCCCGGAGCTGGTCCTTGTGGTCCCACTGCATCAGAGATAGATGGGGCATAGCCGTCATGTTGCCGTGCATACCCGCAGTTCCATCGTAGCGATAAATTTCCATAGTCCCCTTGACGCTGGTGGAGGTCAGTCGGTTGCTAACTTTGTCTGCTTCAAGTTGGCTTCTTTCGTTGTGGCAATAGGTGCGCGTCCAACCCGGATGGGACGGGTCGCTGCCGCGATGCTTCATGGCCAGAATGTTGCCCACGGCATCGTAGGTATATTTCTCGATGTAAGTCCCCATCGCATCACCGTTGCCCGGGCTCTCGAGACGAGTGCGAAAGGAGTCGAACGCGCCGGACGCCGTAGGGGCGTTGGGCTTTCCATTGGTTTGTCCCAGGTGCTCGCGACCTGTTGCCGCGATCAGTTGGTAGATGGCGTCGTAGGTGAAATCCGTGCTTGGCTCCACACGTTGATTGCGGAAAAGGATAGTCTGCTGAGCGTTGTCGTGGATATGAGTGGTATTGCCGACCGGGTCGTAGGTGTATTGAAGGTCCTGCAATGTGTCTGAACGGCGTAACGTCCGAATATTGATGAGGCGGAAGGTGAGAGGATCGTAACTATAGGCGGTGCTTGTGCCGTTGCCATATTCAATCCGGGTGCGCTGGCCTTTGGCATCATGGTCGATACTTGTGACGAACGGCGTCCAAATCGGCTCTCCGTCCTTCTGTTCGCCACGCAGCTGCACCCAAACCTGCTCCAAGCGATTGCCTTCGTTGTATATATGGCGTATGACACTATTCTCAGGAGCAGTCACTTCTTTTGTACGACTGAGCGCATCGTAAGTGGTGCTGCCGATATAGAGCGGGTCTTCCAGAGGCACGTGAGTGGACCAATCCAGGGTGGTCGTATAATTCTGGGCAAGCTGTCGTTGACTGCGTAACAGGTTCCCTTTGAAATCGTAGTCATTATTGGTAACAATGCCCGCCTGATCGAAGACTTGAACCACCTGCTGGCGTTGGTTGTGGATTTCCGCTTCAGGTTGAGTTTCTCCATAGACAACACGTTCCACCAATAACTCTGGCCCATCCCCTTCCCGGAGGTACAAGTCCTTGGGACGGTGCAGCGGATCGTAAACATGTCGAAGCCGGTGGTGTCGGCTATTCCAGGCGAGAAGAGCGTTGCCTACTGCATTGACGACTGTCCAGCGCTCACCTGCCTCCATGCTCGTCTGACGGATACGGGTTCCGAGCATGTCGTAGTCGTACTGCACGATAACGCGACCTTTGGCGTCGACAACTTGGCGCTCGTTGCCTTCGATGTCGAGAAGCACGCGGGTTGTATACGATCCCGCTGCTCCGTTATCCGCGATGGTCAAGAACGTGCGGCCCAGCGTGTCAAAATGAGCAACAGTGGGTGTATCCGCATGAGAAGCAGCTTTGCTGGCGGCAGCCTCCTCGCGGGGGCCCCTTTGGCCATTCTTGCGTGCCTCATACCATGTCGGGAGGTAATCGGTCTCCAGCAGCCGCTGGAAGCAATGGCCCACGTCCACGTCAGTCCTTGGGTCTGTCCGTAAAACCGTGTCGTTGGCATCGTACGTCTTTTGGTGCCAGGGATCGTAGACCATCTTCTCCCAGGTATGATCTGGGTGCAGAGTTGCCACCAAGCGCTGCAATGGATCGTAGAGGAGAGTTGAGCTGGATCCAACGCGCCTATCGAATCGAAAGTCGTGGCTGTCATCGAAAAAAGGTTCGTACTGCTTTATGGGGCTTCCCTTGTTGTTGAAGATGGTCCATCCGCTTCCCACCCAGCGTTGACCACCTCCCTTGACACTATGATCTGCCTTGGCTTGGACCTTCTTTTGTATTTCACGTCCGTAGCCATCGGAGTAGGAGAACGCAACTTGGATTTTGAGCTCGTCCGATTCCAATAGGTCGCTGGCGTGTGTTTCACGGACAAGGGCCGCCGTGAATGAAGGTTGCGGTTGCTCCTCACTATCAGCTCCAAGCGAGAAACGATTCACATAGTAGATAATGCGCATCGTAGCGCTGCCCAGAAGTGCAGCTGCCGCCGAGCCTGTGGGATTGGTGAAGAATTGGTTAACCTCAGCCTGGCTTAAATCGGCACGGAAAGCAGTCAATGAATCTCCCAGATTCTCACTAGCCTTGCCCATGACTGCCGTGCCAACGAGCATTCCCAGCGCGTCATATGCCGCTTCCTTGCGGTTGCCATTAGGATCCGTGATGAGCTTTGGCTGCAACACGCGATAATCGTTGGCGGATTGGACCACATTGCCCAAAGCATCCGTGGTGCGGACCGGTAGCAGAAAATGTTCGTCGTAGTCCACTGTGAAGCAGCGGTTGAAAGCGTCAGTGAAGCGCCGAGGCGAGAAGAAATGCCTCCTGGCTTCCACCAACTCCTGATGAGAATCGCAATGGGCATCCGGATGCAGAAACATACGTCCTCCAGGTACCCACCAGTGGCTGTCGTTGTCCATATCAACGTAGCCAGCCTGGTTATTTCCCTGACCACCAAGGATGCTCGCCGGATTGGGCAGCAGGTTTTCGGTGGGCTGATGGCCGTGTTTGCGTTGGAATACATTGGAAATGAGCCCTGGTGTAAGGGCAAGCATATAGCGTTCACCTGGCAGTACCAGCGACTCAAGCTGGCCAATGGGTAGCAGACGAGTTAAATCGTTGCTGCGATAGAGCATCCTTGAGCGCTCGATGAGCCGCTTCTGCCTGAGCATTGGGTTGCTATCTTGTTCGTATGGAATCTCGTCCAATGTGCGAATCGGACCAAAGTTGTCCGCGTTAAAGGTCGCCAGGTTGAGGCGATCATCTTTGCAACCAGCCGTGAAGCCCGTGACTTGGTAGGTACGCACCTCGCATGATACTGGTGTATGATAGTCATCCGCCTCGTCCACTGCATTTGTGAAGTCGTTCTCTGTGTAGGTAATGATGAGCCGCTCCTGCCTCGCTCTGTCGTCTTCTTCTCCCAGAGTGCTGCGGCCTTGCTGTCGTCCGTAGCCGATGGCAACTGACTTCAGCACATTCCCATAGCGATTCACTTCTAGCGTCATCTGATGCTGCACTCGAGGATCCTGTGGATTGCGCTCATAGTGGTAACTGATGCTCTCACGAGGGTGGGTGAAGAAGATGGAGGAGGAGTTGCCATTCTGTGGCTGGACCGATTCAACGGTGTGATTAATTTCAGAGACACTGTATGGAATACAAGCATCATCACCTCCATCATTAGCGTATATCTCTTGCCGCAGTAGCGAGCCCTTGAGTGCTCGGTATGCTTCACGCGTCTCGTCCGCCGTGAGGACTGTATGCGGTAGCACTGTATCGTCGAGCAATGTCTTCAAAAACTCTTCAAATTGATCATCATTCAATCTCCCTGCACCGTAGTATTCCCGCGCCATCTTCTTGCTGATTGCATCGGTACCAACATGGGCACCGGTATGAAACCAGCTTTTGGTGTAAACAGGCGGGGTGTGCGAAGATTCGTCAACGTTGAGACTATTCGGGAAAGAAGAGTTTCCATTCAGGACGGCGAACTCTTCCGTGTCCCACTGTTCCACCATACCGAAACCACGAAATTCGCGTTCGACGCCGTCAAAATAACCGTGGTGGTAAGCGTATCGGGTAACGAAGAGGTTCTGGCTGATACGATCATGTAATTCGATGCGTTCAACGCAATGCACCGGGAAAGGCAAGGGCGTAATCCAGGGCTTACCATCCTGTTTGTCCTGCAGGTAGAACCGCGTTGAGGGAGCGTATATCACTCGAGTCTCTGCTCCCAGATTGTTAACCATCTTGACCAGCAAGTGCGGCTTTTGTCCATCCATGAGATCAAGATAGTACATGCGCCGGACGTCGGCCGGGAGAGGTGATGACCAGACAAGACACACGGTCCCAATTCCTAGAAGATCAATAGCTGTGACCGAAGACAAGTTGTCAATGTGGGGAAAGACTGTTATCCGCTCAGGCGGGGCCCAACCGTTGCCTGCCTGATTGCGATAGATATCAACACTGTCATGCTGAAGATAGATGATGTCAGTTGGGCCCGAACCATCGATATCCGCGAGACGAATTCGTTCTTGGCTGAACTTGTCGGGGCTGGTGAACCACGGGGAGTGATCCATGGTGACTTTGGCACCGAAGCGACCGTAGCCCAGGTTCGGCCAATAACATACCTTACCGTTGCGGATCTGTGCCAGGTCCATCAACCCGTCACCCGAAAAGTCAGCAAGATATATGGACTGGGTGCCATCGACAAAGAGTAGTCTCGCGCCTTTCTCTTCATCTGAGGGCTGGAAAACCCGTTCCGCGGGGCCAAAGCCCTCTTCCGCTAGCGACGGATACCAGGTGAACACTTCGTTTTCGGTAATCAGAATATCGGCGTGACCATCGCCGTTGAGGTCGACAAATCTGAGGTTGGGGTCCCGATGATTCGCGTTAGGCCAAGAGGCAAAGGGACGAAAAGCAGACCAACCGATGTCATTGATTCGTTCGTAGAAACCACGCGCCGGCCCTTCCATCTGGACAATGTCGATTTGGCCATTACCTTGCAAATCTATAAACTGTATCTGGCCTTCTGCAACTACGGGTTTCGCCGTTACGAGTTCGGACGGACTAAACCGGGCTGCTGCGCGCTCATCGCCATCTTCACAGACCAGATTATTGGCACTCAGGTTACGCTTGTAGAACCAGCCCTCAGCCTGTGCGGTGAAAATACCAGAGAGTCCTTCTCCATCCAGATCAAGCCACTCATACAGGGTATTATCCACACCGTACGGCACATTCTCCAGGTTCTCCGTATCAACATACTGAACTGGCAGGTTTGCAAGTCGATCAGGATCCGGAGCCTTGCTGTATTCGAGTTCCAAAGCAGGCATCGATTTTTTGAGGTACCCATCGTGGTGACGGACATACCCCGATTGAGTGACGCTGGTGATAAACGATGAGATGGCATCCTCGCTGTAAGCGAAGTCGGTCGAACGCACAAGGTAGTCTTTGGTCCCGAGTTCCTCTGGAAAGCAGTGGAACAGTAGAATTCGTCGGCACAGTCGATAAGTTCGAACTTCAAACCCCGCCCGATATGAGGAGAAAGGGTCAGCCCGGCAAGTCCATGAATTCTGATGATCTGGCTTTGGGTTGTCAAGGGCATGTTCGCCGTAATCGAAGACTACCTTGAACATCCAACTATCATCCGGAAGCAAAGTTGGATCGGTTACCTTCCAGCTGTCCTGGTCGCGGTTCGGTTTGCGATTACCATACTTTATTGTCTTTGGGTAGCGATTTGATGAGCGGCTTTGATCTGTGCGGTTGTGCTCACTTGGGCCAGCCAGTGGAACACCAACCGAATCTTCCTGCTTGTAATCGTATACCACTGTATTTCCTTTGCTATCATAGCTCTCACAAATCAACCAGGAAAAGACCCGATTCAGAGGGTCGGTCGGAGAGGAGATCCTGGAGCGAGCATCCTTGCCGTAGAGGGATGTAACGTTATCTGGAGTAATCAACCGCCAGTGGACATCGCTGTCGCTCCGACGGGTCCATCGCTCAATCCGGGCAAACATCCCCTCTATGCGTGGGCTGTAGCGGCGAACAGTGTAGCCAACGCGATCAACTTCATCAAACACAAGGCTGCCCAGCTCATCGCGAATACAATTGCCTTCCTTATCTTGCTTGTACCGTGGCACAAGGTCCTCGGATCCGGCTAGAATAAACACATCGCTCTCTTCGGCATCATGATACCGTGGAAGGCCTTGATCTGTTTTGCGGGTGATTGAGGGCAGCGACAGATTCCAACCAATTCCGAAGGGCCCGTTGCCTTCGCCAGAGTCGTATGAGAGTGATAGCTGCGGGCCGAAACCAGAGCGACCAGAGCTGGTTGCGATTGGCACTGACAGTTTGCCGGTGCCTGTGACAGGGTTCGCACCGAATTTCTCTCCAATGCCTCGAATCGCTCCACCGCCTTTAGGAATGGAGATTGATGGAGCCGAATGAGTTGAAGTTTTGGGAGTGGTCGCCGAGCCAGTCGGATCATGCTGACCATTTCCCGAGCCTCGATGTGTTTGACGCGTGCCGTATTCGCCATCGTTTGTAGAAGACATAATGTACCAGGGCTCCTATTTGAAAGCAGAAGAGATCAAACCGAATCGGGAACCGAGTTGACGATGCCAGCAAAGGAGAGAAGATGAAGATGTAGTCATCAGCTCAGAGGTTCCAATATGGTAGCGAACCTCACACAACCTTTGCGCGGGGAAGAGCAGCATGCGAGGGGCACGCTCAGGCGCTTCTTTCACGACCTGGACGCTGCCTAGCATTACTACCGCCACCTTCCACGTCCGGCCAGACGCTCAGCGGCCGCAGCAATATTGAAAACATTGTGACGACCTCCTCTTTCTTGGTCCTGCAAGCCTCGAAAATGCACCTTCCTAGTGGCGTATTCAGATACGGGCCAATTGAATACCGTAGGGGAAGGCGAGACGGGGTAATCTAGCCTGAGCGGAAAGCGCACAGTCGTATTTAGTCGGACCTGAACAGAGGCAGTACGGGTAACACAATGGCATACGGATCCGGAACCTCAGCTTTGGCTGGTGGTGGTTGTGTCTTGTAGTTGCATGCATATGTGCTGAGATCTATTCAAGAACTCTTGGCACATTTTCGACGGCTAGTTGCTCTAACCTTTACGTACTACTTACCTACATTTTTAATAATACTAATCTAGATAGTTATTTTAGAACTTTTATATATTTATTATTATAGCTAGGTAAGTAATATCTATAAGCGTCGATTAAAAGAGCAATAACGTGTTCCACGGGCGAGCGCCGCACCCCACCAACTTTGCCCACCTGTTCAAACGTGCAACACAACCTTTTTTTTTTTTTTTTTTGGATCAATAAGTGTATTGAGTTGTCAGATTTGATAGTATCTGAAGATGTCACGGTGACAGAAAGATTGATTGAAGATGGGTTGACTGATTGTATTCAGGT